TAATAACAAAAAAAAATGGTAATATATCAGTAAAGTGCATTACAAAAATTGTTATACAGTGTTTGCATGAGTACTAACAATTTCTCCAATTTAATTTTTTTAATTGTATGGACAACAGAGCGTTCACCAATTTCGTCTATAAATTCATTAGAATTGACAGACGGTGTCATCATAGACAGAGAATCATTAACAGGATCTGCACTTTCACATGTCTGACTCGCAACATCCTGATGAAAAAAAAATATTATGGGATGATGAAAATCAAGATTGATAAGAATGCATAAAAAATTTAAAGTTAATTTATTTTAACTTACCGCAGCTCTTCCATTTTCAGCAGCAACAATGTCATTGTCGAAAGCTTGATCAAACAGAGTTTCATCTTGTGATTGTTTGGTAGAAGAAAAGGAAGATATAAAAGAAAAATGTATGCAAGGCAAAAACTATATGAAAGAAGCGACAAACACAAAACAAAAAAAAGTACATTTAATTCTGTTGCAGACTTGATGAAGGAAGACATAATAGTTTCGTCGGTGCAAACTTTAGAAACTTGATATTTAGGCTCACTGTATGAGTCAAAATTGTTTTTTCTAACATTAATCTTGAACAACATGGACTTGTCAATAAGAACATCAAATTCTTTTGGATAATGTTCCAAATCAGCACCCTAGAAAAAACGAAAAAAAAAAAGATTCCAACCAATAAAAATATCAGAATTTAGAACTAATTAATATGACAACAGTTGATGAACACAGCGTTGGGCAAAAATAGAATACCAACCCTCTTGTATTGCAATTCACGCAAATCAGAAGCACTCATATCCAACAAAGTAACACAATCTCTATCAAAGAGAATGAGCGATGCAGAATCGATGTTATCAACAACTCTGACTTGAACACTGAATCTATAATACAATTATTATTATTATCAGCGTCAATTACGTAGTATAAGAAAACATTAAAAATCAAAATAATCTCACCTTGGTTGATAATCACTCCAATGTTTTTGGCAGTTTTTACAAAACCATTTCTCATAATCTTCACAAACAAAATACGGGCATTTCTTACAGGATTTGTACCACTAGTTGTATTTACTCTCAATTGCTTTGATAGTTCCGTAAGCAATACACGTCATAACCTGAAAAAAATATATATAACATTAACGACAATTAAAAATAAATAAAAATAATTTAAAAAAGATAGCATAACTTTATCCCAATCACAAATATTCACCTCGGTAGAAATTTTAATATCAGTAATACACTTTCTTTCTGTATTTTTAAGAAAATCATTCTCAAAGGAATATGTCGATTGAGTAGACAACTGAGACAATCCACGAATACAATCCGCTGAAATATTTCCAAGCCTAAAAGAAAACAAACGCAACATATAAATTACGAATCCAAACATACACAAATTTCATAACAGAACTTATACTGAATAATAGAGTTGCAACAGTCATAAAAAATATTTCTTACTGTTTCTTGAATTCAATAATTTCTGTTACATTCGAATCCATAATGAGACGTTGTATATCTTGTATTAGTTATTGACTTTTGACCTACACAATTAAAAGAGAGAAAAAATGGAAAGAGCTACCGTTAAAAAAAAGCAATAGAAGGAGACAGACAAAATAGATATTTATTGAATTTTTTTAATAAAGAATAAAATTAAATATGAAGACAAATACCTCTGAAATCCTTCATCTTTGCAAGATGAACTATTATAACATTTTGAGAAGCCTGATTATTTGCCAAAAAACTCTGCACTTCATCAACATAATGCTCCCATAATGTGCATTCAAGTTTGTGACCTCTTTTTTTTCCGCAGAGGTTTTTAAAAAAATATACACAACTCATTACAGACATCAATTTACCACACATAAAATAAATTACACATACGTTATTCAAAATCGTTACAACAAAAAATACCTGAGGTTGTCAAGCTCCAACACAATTTTTTTTGCTTTCCTACCAAACACATCATGCTCTTCAACTTCGCTAGTTCCAGTCAGTAAACCGATGACATCTACAGAAAAAATAATTCAGATTAATGAAAATAATTTTTTCCAAGTAAATAAATTATTTAAAAAAATAACAAAAGAATACATTACCCAATAAATAAGGAGAGATCGTTTTTTGCTGTATAATAAAATCAAACTCGACAAAATTGAAACAATTGACAGGTATGGTAGCATCAACAATGGCCTTAACATCTGTCCTCAAGTTGAAAGAAATTTTGTAAACATGCCTAGTTGCCTTGAAACCTTCACCATTCAATCCAACTCCAAAATTTCTAATAAAGTACGCTTCCCCTTCTATAATTTTTTTTCTAACTTGCAAAGTCCCTCTGACAGTAGCATGGATCGTAGAACCCTACATAATTCAAACATAAATTAGCAAGAAGAATCGAAGAATTAGAAAAAAAGAGAGCAAAATATAAAAATAAGTTTGCAACATAAAAAAAAAATACATGTTCATCTGCCAGAATCATCTCCAGATTGTCATCAAATCCTTTTTTCTCATAATTAGGGACCTTCCAAGTCCTAATGGCCCTAACCTTAATCCTCCAATCATCCTTAGAGGAATTTAGATCTTTTATAAAATCATATTTTGAAAACATGACTAAAGCAGGAAGTAGAAGAAGGGAATAACAGCGAATGATAAAAAGAAGGAAAAAAAATGCAAGATACTGAAGAAGATGAATGATTCGACCAGAGAAAAATGGAGGGTTCATGTAAAAAATGATAACAATGGGGAGAGAAGGCATTAGAAGTCTGAGAGAGACATTGGGGCATTCAAAACATTGAATAATTACTTTCAGTTTCCAATGGGGTACAACAGTAGTAATTATTACGTTCATCAATTACCAATGAAAGAAATAGGTGGGATTTAAGTTGGATGTCTGCCACTAATATATTTTCGGACTTACAAATATTTTTATTCTGTATTTATTTGTTTAATGTTCGAAATTCAAATTTCAAATGTCTACCAAAACAGGAAACTTTTTAAATTGTTGTAGGTGTGAACACAAACCTCAGATTCAAGGAGAATGCGACATATCATCAAAGTTTCCAATAAACGGTTTTACTTTAGAATAATATAGAATAGGGATTCGAATCTTTTCCTGTAGTCATGTGAAGAAAAATATGAAATTGGTTATTTGAGGAATCATAATCATATAAAGATTGACCAATAGTAATAAAGAAAGAAGGAGAAAAAAATATTGAAATAGGTAGTTATAAAATCATAACCGTTGATTTAACTTTATATGGTTGTGATGACCATGTCATGTTTTTTTTCATATGGGAAAATCTATTTCCATCCAAACAGACACTTTTATCCCTTAGGGGACGTTTGGTTTAGGAGAAATTTTTTGAATACTAGGGAATTGTAATTGATAAGGAAATGATTGGAAAGTGAGTTTGGTAGGAAAATGTAAAGAAAGTTATTTGATTGAAAAAAATTTAACTGGGCAAATTAAGTAAGATTTATAAAATCTATGTTTGGTTTGAGGTAAAATATAGATGGAAAAATAAGTAGCAATTACGAAAATGTCTCTGTTTTAAAAACAACTATAAATTACGAAAGGTTTTTTATCCATGACAAACATTGATTATGCCTACAACTTACGGTATTATTTTAAGACCACAAACACAGAACTGGGCAAACATTCAATTCAAAAAAGCACGAGATCAATAGTTCTTTCATTGACAAAAAGCAGAAACCTTGCATGAAATTGACCACAAAAGACAAAAATCGCACACAACCTTTGAGACAGATGAATGATTGACAGAGCAGTTCAAGGACAACAAGAGATCCACAACAGATCATATATTGCACGACATCAATTGCAAGAACAGTAGCAGCAAATGCAAATATGGAATCTATTTTCCTTTTGCACGCTAAGAGAGGGTGAGCTCGTCTTTTGTTAAACAACAATATGAACAAATAAGTTGTTTTTCAGCAATACCACATGCCAAAAGGTTTTCCACAAAAATAGAAGTACAACTTGGTTTGGTAGGATAGTCATTTAGGTAGGTAAGTATAGAAGTTGACTCAATCAAACATGGTGTAGGGATATTTTCACTTCTCACTTACCCATCTATCTCAACATTTTTCCTCAACCAAATACACCCTTAGGAGATGTTTGGCAGAGAAAATGTTTTGTGTTCATTGAATTACCATGCTTATGAAAGTAAATTTCCAAGTTTTTTTTTAAATCAAAAGTATATTTTTAAAAACAGTATCCAAACAAACACTTCTCTCCCTTAGGTATCATTTGGTGTAAGATAAATTTTTTAATAATAGGAATCACGATTTCGAAGAAAGTAAATTTCACTAAAAAATTGTTTAGTATAACAAAATATTCTTATGAATGTTGGCTCAAGTTTCATGATTCTAAACTTGTTTGATTGTCAATAATTTTTGGGAATATGGGTTAATCTTACAAAATTAACATTTGACGAATTTTTGAATAAATTACTAATATGCCACATGTAAGCTTTAACATGAGAGGGTTTTTTAATCATGAAAATATTAAAACAAAATTATTTACATTCTATAAATTATGAAAAAAATTTCCACTAAGTAAGAATATAAGAATATCACTCACTTGATGGTATTATTTTATGGAATTCTTATTTATAATTCTAATTCCAAGTAAAATTTTAAGATTCTTGTACAAAACTTGAGTAAAAAATTTTAATATGAATTTCCTAGAAATCTAAAATTTATTAATAAAAAATCACTCACTTTTTTCACATTGTAATTTGTTTTGTTTTAGGGTCCCCTCATTAAAAAAAAAAAAAAACACCCACATCTTAATAAAATCAAATTCAAGCAGCTTACCAAAAAAAATAAAAAATAAAAATTCAAGCAGAATAAAGTATATTTTGTGCGGTCTCAAGAAAATTGTTGTATCTCAAGTTGGGTTTGGCCCATTGAGTTGAAAAAGTATTTAAGCGACCCAAATGCTCCAAAACCCTAATATTCACATTTGCACTTTCAGTTCAATCAAACGATAGCCGTCGCTACTTCTTCTCCCCTTCATCTTCGACGATTGATCGGTGCCTGAATATTGAAGTTTCTTGAATCTTCCAGAGACAACCTAAGTTGCAGAAACGGTACGCCGAAATTCCCACCTTGTTCCCCCAATCTCGTGTAATATCCCAAGCTCGAGAGGTTTCGTTTTTTTTTTTTTTTGGTGACACAATTGATGGTTAAGCTTGTCGCTGTTGAAGAAATACATTTTATTTAACTTAATTATTTATGGATCGGTAATACGATTATGTATTGATAGTATTATTTTCATCGCAGATTCTTAACCCTACTCGGAACTTTTGACAAAAGATGGCTTCGAGATTCTGGACTCAGGTTTTTAACATATGTTTCGATGCGTTTTAAATGTTGATTATGTGATATTGAAGCATTAATTTTTAATTTAATTTTTGAATGGCAGGGTGGTAGTGATTCCGAGGAGGAGGAGAGTGATTATGATGAGGAGATTGAGACTGCAGCCGGTGAATCTGCTAATCAAGCTGTTACAAGCAGATACTTGCAGGACAATGCAAGTGACAGTGATGACTCTGATGGCCAAAAGCGCGTTGTCAGGTCAGCAAAAGATAAGCGTTTTGAGGAGATGGCTTCTACTGTTGATCAGATGAAGAATGCCATGAAGATTAATGACTGGGTGAGCTTGCAAGAGAGCTTTGACAAGATTAACAAACAGCTTGAGAAAGTTATGCGTGTTACTGAGTCCGAGAAGGTGCCCAATCTTTATATTAAGGCACTTGTGATGCTAGAAGATTTCTTGACTCAGGCTTTGGCAAATAAGGATGCAAAAAAGAAGATGAGTAGTAGCAATGCTAAAGCCTTGAACTCAATGAAGCAGAAGTTGAAGAAGAACAATAAGCAATATGAGGACATGATTAACAAATGCAGGGAGAATCCGGAGAGTGAGGAGGAAAAAGATGAAGAGGAGACGGAGGAAGAATATGAAAGTGAGGATGAGATTATTGACCCTGAGCAGCTTAGAAAAGATGGACCCAAGTCAGATTCAGAAGCTTCTCAATATGAAGATGACAAGACTGGTGCAAATGAAGCACCTTGGGACCAAAAGTTTATGAAAAAAGACAGAATTTTGGGAACACAGTTTTTGAAAGACCCCAGCGAGATCACATGGGACAAAGTAAATCAAAAGTTCAAAGAGGTTGTGGCAGCTAGGGGCAGGAAGGGAACTGGAAGGTTTGAACAGGTTGAGCAACTCACCTTCTTGACAAAAGTTGCTAAAACACCTGCACAGAAGCTGGAAATTCTGTTTAGTGTGGTTTCTGCTCAGTTTGATGTTAATCCAGGCCTCAGTGGGCATATGCCCATTAATGTATGGAAAAAATGTGTGCAAAACATGCTGATAATTCTGGATATTCTAGTGCAGTACCCAAACATAGTGGTTGATGATTCGGTGGAGCCAGATGAGAATGAAACTCAGAAAGGGCCTGACTATGATGGATCAATTCGGGTTTGGGGTAATTTAGTTGCATTCTTAGAAAGAATAGATGCTGAGTTTTTCAAGAGCCTGCAGTGCATAGATCCTCATACCCGTGAGTATGTGGAGAGACTACGGGATGAGCCCATGTTTTTGGTTCTTGCTCAGAATGTCCAAGAATATCTTGAAAGGATTGGAGATTTCAGAGCTTCTTCTAAGGTAGCCTTGAGGAGGGTTGAACTCATTTACTACAAACCTCAAGAGGTTTATGATGCCATGAGAAAATTGGCTGAACTGACGGAAGATATAGATAATGGAGGGGAGGCAAGTGAAGAGTCAAAAGGATTTGAGGAAACACGAATTCCTACTGCTTTTGTTGTTACTCCGGAGCTTGTGGCCCGAAAATCCTCCTTCCCTGGGAATAGCAGGAACTTAATGGATGAATTGGTATCACTAATCTACAAATATGGTGACGAGCGTACTAAAGCACGCGCAATGCTTTGTGATATATACCACCATGCTCTTCGCGATGAGTTCTCAATAGCTCGTGATCTACTGCTTATGAGTCACTTGCAAGACAATGTTCAGCATATGGACATTTCTACACAGATACTTTTTAACAGGGCTATGGCGCAGCTAGGTCTATGTGCTTTTCGGGTCGGACTGATTTCCGAAGCTCATGGATGTCTTTCTGAACTTTACTCTGGTGGAAGGGTGAAGGAGTTGCTTGCACAAGGTGTGTCTCAAAGTCGTTACCATGAGAAGACTCCAGAACAGGTACACTCCCCCTAATCCATCCCAGCTTTTTTTTTTCCAATGGTTGTTGGTTTGTGACATGGTGGAAGTTTTTTTAGCTGCTGATCTCATTTTAGAGTTTAATGCATTTATTGTGACTAAGGGAGTAACTGAAAGGTGGGTGTGTGTATGTATGTATGTGCTTACCATATATGGTTTTTGAATTGAATTGTGTCTCAAGATACCAAGATCCCCTGTTAGTCTATCATTTACTCGTGTCCCTCATTGCCAGGTCTCAGGTAAGGTTTTTGTCTTCAGCATGACATTATGTGTTAAATGACAGTTGTTTAGTAAAACTGTATGTTTCATATGAATGCATGCATGCATTGTAATTGTCAAGAAATGATATGAATCTGTCTATAATAATTTCTTTGGTGCACTATGATCAACACTTAAAGAGGTTAGCCCTCTTTCCTAATAGAAAATGGCGCATGTCAAGAATCTGTGAAGTAAAATAACGGAAAGAAACTGCACTGATACTGAAGCTTGATAATAGATTGTTGAGGAAAAGGAACTGGGATAGCATTTCTCCAATCCGTCCCATTTAGCATCCTGATGCTCAGCAGCTCATAAGAACAGACAGATTGGGCTTTTTATTTTCAGTTATGCAATTTTCAAGCAGCTATGGATACATGTTAGCTTTTCTTTTTCTTTGTTATGGTAGTCCAAAGTTATTAGCTATTTAAGTCTTGCATAACTAAATCAATGCAGCAGATAAACTCAATTTTAATGCATAGTAATAATCCCAATGTATTTTAGAATGTAGCAAGTTGTAAGAATATATGTTTGGGACATGTGATTCCTCAAAGTGAGAAGTTGTGCACTTTTAAATAAGTTTGAATATACTGTGCTACTGTTATAGTGTTGTCTTCCTTAGTTGTATTATGATGAAAGGTTTGCTACTGTCAAATCTTTGAGTTTTTCTAATACATATTTTCATCATGATCAGATTTTGCATTTGTTTTATAATTGTGAGAATTACATTTGACATCACAGTTAACTCTTTTTAATTCTCTTACAGGAAAGATTGGAAAGAAGACGTCAGATGCCATATCATATGCACATAAATCTTGAGCTCTTGGAGGCTGTTCATCTTATATCTGCTATGCTGCTGGAAGTTCCTAATATGGCAGCCAATATTCATGATGCAAAGCGCAAGGTCATCAGTAAGAATTTCCGTCGCCTGCTGGAGGTCAGCGATAAACAAACATTCACCGGTCCACCTGAAAATGTCAGAGATCATGTTATGGCTGCCACAAGGGTTCTTAGCAAGGGAGACTTCCACAAGGCTTTTGACATTATTGTCTCTCTTGATGTATGGAAATTTGTGAGAAATCGGGACAGTGTGCTTGAAATGTTGAAGGACAAAATTAAGGAGGAGGCCTTGAGGACATACCTCTTTACCTTCTCTTCATCTTATGATTCTTTGAGCCTGGATCAGCTTACAAAAATTTTTGACCTCTCTGTGCCTCGCACTCATAGCATTGTTAGTAGGATGATGATCAATGAGGAGCTTCATGCTAGCTGGGACCAGCCAACTGGGTGCATTGTTTTCCAAGATGTTGAACACTCAAGACAGCAGGCTTTGGCATTCCAGTTGACAGAGAAATTATCTATCCTTGCAGAGAGTAATGAAAGAGCAACAGAGGCAAGAATAGGTGGTGGTGGAATGGATCTGCCTCTGAGGCGGAGAGATAACCAGGACTATGCTGCTGCCGCTGCTGGGGGTGGAACTGGGTCTTTAGGTGGTAGGTGGCAAGACATGTCCCTTTCTCAGCCAAGGCAAGGCAGTGGACGTGCAGGATATGGTAGTGGTGGCGGAAGGCCATTCGCATTAGGCCAAGCAACTGGGAGTGGCTATTCAAGGGATCGAATGGGAAGAGGAACAGGTACTGGCTATCAGAGTGCACGGTATCAAGGAGGTTCATCGTTGAGGGGATCCCAGGGCGATGTATCTACCCGTATGGTTAGCCTCAAGGGAGTTCGTGCTTAAAAAAGAAGTATATTAGAGAGGAATTCTAAGCTTTTAAAGCATTTAAAACTGTCGTCTTTACTTCAGTCTTCATAATTTTACTATGCACTAAAACATTCTGGTTTTCATTTTTGTACAGTTTTATTTTCTTTATCTAAAGATTCAATGAGAAATTTATGGGATCTTGCTTTCATGTTTTCCCCATTTTGGCTTGGGTTTATTCTGTTCGAATTGTATCTGTAAGTTCTTGCTTGGCATCGGGATATTTGACTTTGTTATTATCTTCTGTGTAGCATCTCCTTTGGATTGGTAGTTTATTTGTTCTTAGCAGCATTAATATCATTTGCTACAGTAAAACCACGCACTCATTAGTCTTACCTTTTGAACATTTCTGTGTTGATGATGATATGGGGTCAAATTTCATATTGGTAAAATGTCATATTTTATTGTACCCTGTAAAAAACAAAAAAATCTCATTTTATGATTTTATTTAAAGGTTTATCTAGTCTCATTGTATGAGAGGGAGTTTTTTATGTCATAGATATATAGTGGTGGTCTAACACCTAAAAAATAAAAAAGAAAAGGAAAAAAGTTGCATGGTTATTAAAGAATGTGTAACAAAAAAAAATTGTATGATGTGACATGAGAATATTTTTTCTCTTTATTTAAAATACTAATTTTCCTAATCAATATCTGTGAACTTCTGATTGTCATTAAAGTTGTTTAAAATTAAAACTCTGATTTGTGGCAACTTTTTTTTTTTTTTAAACTATTTGAGATGTCTGGGGAGAACAACAACAGATAGGGAGGTTGGTATCACTATTTGTATTTTAAGGAAAATGTTCTGTATATAAAGCACAAATGGCTGAAAGCATAGCCCCATTGAATTTGCCCTCAAAATTACCCCGATTTGCAAATTATGTTATACATATTTAGGGTATGCTGATTTAAGTTCTCTCTTACCAAAAAAAAAAAAGTTTACAATTTTTTTTGTTCTCTCTTGTTTCCTCTTGGTCGGACTTCGCCGGTTAGTCCGTCAATAATAGTAATAAAAAAATACCAATTCCCCATATTATTAAAAAAAATATTTGATATCTGGAAAATATATAAAAAAATTTAATATTCGTATTCCATTATTGATAAAAATTATTAAGAAAATTTAAAATTGTTCTTTTTTAAAAGTTAGAACTGAAATGTTTAACTAAAATATCAAAATATAAATAGAGTGAATAAGATAAAATCATATATGGAGCTAACAAGTTATTCTTTCTTGTATCCAAAAAAACAAAAAAAAAAGTTATTCTTTCTTGCTCAGGTTTTTCCTGATTTGTAGGGGTGTAAATGGGCCAGGCTGGCCTAGTCCAGCCTACGGCCCGACCTACATTGAGCCCAACCCTTTCAGAAAAGTAGAGTAGACTTAGGCTTATAAAAAAGTTTTTTTAATAAATAAGCCAATTTTGTCAAGCCCGGCCTACAGCCTTGTAGACTAGCCTATTTAATTTATTAAAATAAAATAATAAAATAATATTTATTTTATGTGGTAAAGACACAAAGTACCAAATACCAATATCTCTTACTTTTTGTGCTATTTTATTTTATGAAAGAAAAACTTGTTTAATGTCTCCAAATTTTACATGTTGTTGCAGCTTAATACCATGGAGCAATGGATACCTTGCTGGATTATGATGTTACCGATGAAGATCTTTCAATAATACTCTTCTTTCCCTTGTCTTGATGGTGGTTTAAAGATTTTTAGATGAATGACATTCTCTTGTAGACTTTATTTCAGCATCCAGTAATTGTATTTTTCTTATTTTTCGCATTTCTTTGACTCTATTCCTCTATGATATACATTCTAGAGCTGAGGTATTATGTTGACTCTTTCTTGTTTGTCATTTTTTTCTTATGAGAAGTACTAGTGCATGCATGAATAGAACTTTCTTTGCTCTATACAATTATTTTTTTTGCTTAGTATATATAGTGGGAGGCCTACAAGGCCTATAGGCCATGTCAGACTTTCTTATTTTTGAAAATGGGCCAGACTTGGCCTACAAATAAAGTCTTTAATAGGCCAGTAGGTCATGTAGGCTGAATTTTTTTTGACGTAGGCTTGGGGCAGAATGGCCAAAGCCCAACCCATTTACACCCCTACTGATTTGTGAAGTCACTAGCCTTTTATATAGTTCCATCTTTCAATAACTTAGTTCCAGTCTTCCTAAAATACATATGGGCCGATTCACATAATTATAGGAAAATTATTTCACATAAGACAGGTTATTTTAGTAAACCCGATATTTTAATTAAATTAATTTATAATAACAAACATTTATATATATAGGTTTTATGAATGTTATGTTATAGAAAAATTGTCATATTATTATTACAAAGACAATACCCAAAAAATATTATTTATGTCAACATATTTAGTTAAGGAGTTTGGGGCAGTGCCCCCAAAAATTTTTTTTAAATTTTTTTTAAATGCATTAAAAAACAAAAATTATAAATAAGAAAAAAAAAAACTTCAACTTAACATAAAAATTTATTCCCAAAACTTTTTTTTTAATCAAGCTGATTTATTGTATGACATCATAAAATATCCAATAAAACATATCGCATCCTATTCCGTTCCACCGTATTTCATTCATTTTTGTAAAGAATCAATTCAACTCAAAAGCTTAAGTTGTTGGGTGACACTACATTAATGGATTTATATATTTTAACGCGCTCCCTCACATAAAAGCCCATGGAACTTGAAATGTGAACAATGCACATGCCCACCTACATGTGCGACGAAATAAATTCTACTAAAAAAATAAGAGGCGGTGAATATCTGTATACCATGATATTATGTAAATAACCAAAAAGTCATTATTCATGAATGGGGCCCATCAAGCCTTGGGCTTCCCCCATTTGAGTCTCACCAATTCTTCTTCAGCCTATTTTAACTGGTGTTGTAGAGGTGATACTCTACGCTCTAACCGTTCTACTTGGTCTCTGCTAGATAGGGTTGATATAGTGACGTAAAAGCTTTCAGAGCTTCAACCCCAGTAACCTCTTCTGGGAGCAACGACAGATTGGTAATGTGAAAGTCATCATACAACATGTAAAATTGATCCAGATACTTCTGTTGCATTTTCATTCTTGCTTTAAGTAACTTAGATTCAATATCTCCATCATCAAAGATTACTTGATTAATGATGATATTGTGTGTGTCAATCTCAAACTTCGTAAGTTCCTGAACTAATCTCTGTTTCATAAAGTGAAAGGAATTCAGGAATGCAAACACAGACAAAGGTTGTCACGTCCGGATCTTTGAATTGCTTATTATCTTGTTCGATTACATCCTTCATGCCTTCCATCCTCCCAAGAATTGCATCATAACCAAAATCATCACCGATGCCAAACATGCGAGTCATTTGATTAAACAAACCGCCAAATTTACTTTTCAATGACATCATTTTCGCACGACCCTTTTCTAAAACCGATGGGAATTGCAATAGTCTGAGTGTGTGGCCAGTATCATTAATCAATATATATATATATATATATAGAGGATATTCTTACTACTAAAATTTTTTACTATGAACTTACTACCAATCTAATCATTATTGCATCAAAGGGAGAAAATTTTAAAAAGTTTATGAAGAGAGAGAAAATGTTGATCCAATAGTAATTAGATAAGTAATAAGTTGATAGTGAAAAATTTTGATAGTAAAAATATCCCTCAAAAATATATATATATATATATATATATATATATATATATATATATATATGAACAAAGCAAACACAACTTATGAACAAAGCAAACACAACTTCAGAGAGAAGAACGATGGTGTTTTTCTTGTTTTCGTTTTATGGGAATTTTTGCATTTGTCTTTGGATTTCAACACACAAAAAAAAATATATCAGATAACAATTTTTTTGTCTTTTTCTTTTTTGAAAATAGCAATGATGGTAGGTTCCACACTTTTTTTGTCTTTTTCTTTTTTGAAAATAGCAATGGGTCCCGTCATTTGAAAATTAATTTAATAAGCTAATTGTGTCCACCTTTATTGATATGTTTGTCATAGTCATAGTCATTACCTATAAAATAATAAGTTTCATCAAATAAAGTGAAAAGTAAGGCTCTCTTATTCTTGTTTTCGAAAACAATTTTTTAATTTTCAGAATAAAAAATTAAAAAACTTCGTTTGGTAAGATTTGTTTTGTAAAAAATGTTTTGAAAACTATAACTGTTTTTTTTTTTAGAATCAAATTTAGAAAACATGTCTGAGTTATTTTTATTTTTTGTTTTAGTTTTTAACTTTCAAAGAAAAATAAATATAAAAAATAACTGTTTCTATAACTATTTTATAAAACAGTTTTAAGAACAAAAAAAACTAGAACACAATCAAGTAGACTCTAAATTTCTATCCCCAGTATCATACCATCTTTGAAAGAGTAATACATTTATTATCTTGAAAAAATTAATTTAGTAACAACAAAGTGATAAGTAAATTTCTTTCGAAAAAAGTAATAAATTTCTATCCCCAATACCATCTTTTGAAAATTAGTTATTCTCAGATCGTGCATGCGTATATAAACATTAATTTATTTTAAATTAAATTTAATTTAAATTTATAATTAAAAATTAATATAATTTGATTCAATTGATTATTTTTTATTTTCATCAATTTAATTGAATTGTCAATATTTTAATTTGTGGTATAAAGTAAGGGATCTATTCATGCAAAGAGACAAAATAGTGGGGTCCACTATATTCAAAAAAAAGAAAAAAAGAAAAAATAGTGGACCCCACTCTTTTGTCTCTGTTGCACGAGATAATTATCTCATGCAACATGAGATAATTATTTTTCATAAAATAATTATAACCTATAATTTACACATCACATTATATTATTTTTGATCGCTTAGTAGGCTAAACTTGTATTTTTTCAAAAAACAAGCTAGACAGACTTAAAATTTGGCTTGTATCAAGCTAATAAGTCAAGTAAGACTTGCAACAGGCTTATACTGAATCATTTATTGAGGCTAAAGCCTGATTTAATCTGAATCATATACACTATATTGATGGGTTATAATAAATTCTTATATTTATTTTTAAATTCAAAACATGTAATTATTAATAATAATTTTAAAGAATAAAAATAAGGGATTAATATTTTTTATATCATGCGAGATAATTTTATCTGCTACATATTTATAGAAATATGTGAAGAGAAAAGAAAAAATATAAATCCTATATAATTTTAGGGATTTGCATTCATCATGCAACATGATACAAAAAAGTTTCCTACACACAATATTTTGAAGCAAAAAAAAAAAAAATAAGGCACGTAAAACGAATTTCTATAACATTACACAATCACTTTTCCTACAACATAACTCTTATAAAACCCATAATTTTATATATATGTAACGAAATAAAATATATTTTACAACATGATAAATATTAAAATATATTTAACATTAATGTACTCTACAAAATAGGATAGTGTTACAACCCTGCAAAATGCAAATCTAAATCTCATGTAACAAATTCTAAGTGATGGGCAAAAATGTCATTTCAGGAATCACTCGACTCTGTATAAATCTTCAGCAAAACTAGGGTTTTCTTTCTCCGCAGTTTTACTGGTCAAGAAGGGAAAGCAGCCGTCACTAAACCCTAAGCATAGCCCCTTTTTCCCTTCGTCTTTGATCAGCTCAGGTTCGTATTCATTCGTTCATGGGTTTATTTATTTTCCATGCAACATTTTTATCTGATTGATTATTTTTCATGTTATCGTTCTTCCACCCACTCCTACGTGCCACTGTAACGTTCATAATATTTTTCTTGTTTCTGGAGCATGCTTTTCTGCCGATGTATTGGTCCATCGTTTTAAAATTTCATTAAAATCTGTGTTTTTAAAAATCGGATATGGGTGCCTGGTGAAGTTTAATTGATGCCTTTCATTGTGTTTATTTACGAATTTATGTTGAAATGATTGCTTCTAATTTTACTTGGAATTTATGGTGGTTGTTGTGATCCGGATGTGGTCGATCCTGATCTGGGTTGCATTGCTTTAACTGAATTTGAAATTTGAGACCCTTTTATGTCCTGGTTTTGGTTCACTTTTTTTAGTATTGAAATATGAACTTTTGAAGCCTGGTTAGTGTTTTGAGTAGTTTTTGGCTTGTTTGGCAAAGTAGAGGAGACCTTTGTGGTTTTTAAAAAATACTATGTTGATAAGCATTTACAATTTGCTGTCTTGCTCCAACATTACCTTTATCCAGGCCGTTTTTATTTTGTCTAAAGTGGCTCTGTTGTCTCTTACAATTTGGACACGTTAATTTAGCATGCCTTGTGTCATTTAGAATATCTTCCTTAACCTTCAACTGGAATTTTGAAATTGTAAAGTCATGTATATATTCATCCTCAGCTATTTGGTGGATCATATTTTGTAATTGAACATTCACTTGGTCCTCTTCTATCAAAAGAATTTGGTCTTGGTTATATTATATGGAATGTCTGCGATTGCAGATTGTTTCAAATATCATCAATCATAATCTTGAGATTATGTTTTAAAGATTTTGACATCATTATATTTACAAAATTAAACTGTCTTGAAATCTTGTTAAGAAATCAAATAGGGTTTATATTTGTACATTGCTGTTGAAGTATATTATTATTATTATTATTATTATTATTATTATTATTGTTATTTTTTTTTTTGTGTTATATGAAGTCTGATCTTTTATTGATATGATGTTCTGACTAGGTTTCCATTTTCCCTATATGTGCATGAATCATGATGATTGATGGTTTTTTTTTTTATGCATGATGATTGATGGTTTTTATACCTAAACTCAGAGTTGAATGTTTGGTGTGAATAGTTTTTATCATTTCCTGTTAGTTTGGATATACTCTACCGCAGTCTGAAGCTGAAGATCCATGATTTTGGTTTTGGAGTTTGTTGTTGTGGTACATATGTTTCTGATTTTTCTGTCACCCTGATGCAATGTTTGTGTCCTAAATCCAATTCTTTTCCTCTTTCATCATGTAATTATTGCTTGTTTTTGAACAGGATGGAGTCTCAGGTGAAGCATGCTATTGTTGTCAAAGTTATGGGTCGTACTGGATCCAGAGGACAGGTGACCCAGGTTAAGGTGAAGTTTTTGGATGATCAGAACCGTCACATTATGAGGAATGTGAAAGGACCAGTGAGAGAAGGAGACATTCTCACACTACTCGAGTCTGAAAGAGAAGCAAGAAGGTTGCGCTAGGGTTTTTTATGCGTTTGTCTCCAAATTTAGTCAAAACAATATTTGTGGTAGTTAGTGGATGCCAAAACATTTAGCATCCTACTATTATTGTCTTTGGATCTATTTTCTTTTGGTATTTTGGCTTGAGTTTTGATGTTTCTAGTTTAATCTTCTAAGATTGGAATGTGAGTTTGGATTAAATGTGATTTTTCTTCTATATGGTGCTTTTTATGCTATATTGACCTCTGTTGAGCAATGGCTAGTGACTACAAATATCTAAAATTTAAATGGGCGAATGGTATAAGACATTGCTGATATTACTGGTTGTTGTGAAGGTATAAGACATTATTGGGGTGACATTCGGTTATTATCTTGATTCATTTCTAAATACTTTTGAACAAAATTTCATGATAAAATATAATCCAGAAGTTTTATTAATTTCAATTTAAATAGACTTGAATGTTTCTTTCATAGTTCAATGCTACATGGAACAAGCGTTTCTCTCAAACCATTTTGAATTTCAATTTTGATCATTTTTTTAAGAGTTTGGGATAACAATGTATATTTAAATTTATTATTTTTGTGGATAGAAATATACTTATTACTTTATTTGAGAAACTTATCATTTGATAGGTAATGACTATGACAAACATGTTAATGAATGTGGGATCGTCGGCTAAGGGTTTGATTCATATCCTGCGAGGGTATGAGTCTGAATCTCGCTGGACGACGTGAGAATTTTGCTGGTGGGTGATATATATTTCCTCCCGAAAATCCTTAGAGCCATGTTAGGCTTGGGCTAGACAGGTGTTTGGCTAGGAGGCGAGTTTAATATTTTGGGTCTAGATATTCGGTTGAGGGGAGAATATATTAATATTAGGGAAAATTATAAAATATTCAAATGTGATGAGATGCATAATGTCTTACCAAAATAGAAATGGTCAAAAATGAGCCAAAGTTGTTGCGTCCAATATTATCCAGCATAATGAACAGCACCTTACAAAGGCAAAAGAAAAGAAAAAACATGAAAATAAATAAATAAATACGCTGAAAAAAAAAACAATTATGAAAAATGTAGAAAATAAACTTTCTCCTCTATATTAGTCTTCAATACTTTTCATTTATTCAACAATACTACAAAATAAAATAAATTAAGTCACATGAAGACACAAATTAAATTTTCTACTTAGCATGAAAAAAATAATCAGATAAAATAAATACTTAAATCAGAAAACATATCAACACCCTTTTACAAAACATAATTGTAACAATGCCATACAGATAACAAATATCACATTTTCCCAATTGTATTGGGCTGGGCTGGGCCCAAAACTCAACCTCTTTTAATTTTGAAAGAGTTTCATTTTATTATAAATACCCAAAAACTAGGGTTTTCGATCTTTGTCACAATAGAGTTACTTAACCCTAGAGCGAGAGAGCTTAGAAGCTGAGAGCCGCACCCTCCTCTGTGACTCATTAGGTTTTCTTCTTTCTTCCTTGTCTTGCTTCGTTCTGCATCTCTTCTTTCCTCTCTCTTTCTCTAACTAACATTCTTTGTTCACTCGGTTATACAGCCATGGCTGATACAGTCGCTCTGGAAGCTGATCCCACCCAGCTTGATGTCAAGCTCTTCAATAGGTGGAGCTTCGACGATGTTCAGGTCTCACATCTTACTCTGCTCTTCCTCTATTATTTCATTCCTTCTTTTACATTTCTGATTTACTCAATATTACTCGCACTTGATCTCTCCTCTCACAAATATTTTATCGTACACCTGATTTGTGGTTTTCGTTTTTTAATTTTCGCTTCTTATTCCATATTTATGTTTTTGTTGTCTATAAAAATGCTTTTTTTATTTACTGAATTTTTTCTGTCAGGTTACTGACATCTCTCTGGCTGATTATATTGGAGTTGTGCCATCCAAGCATGCAACCTATGTTCCTCACACTGCTGGTAGGTACTCGGTCAAGCGTTTCAGGAAAGCCCAGTGTCCTATTGTTGAGAGGCTCACCAACTCTCTCATGATGCACGGTAGAAACAATGGGAAGAAACTCATGGCTGTGAGGATTATTAAGCATGCGATGGAAATTATCCATTTGCTGACTGATCAGAATCCCGTTCAAGTTATTGTTGATGCTGTCATCAACAGGTATGTGCACATTTCCCAACTGGTTTTTTTTGGCTTGTATATGGATGGATCTTCCTTTTGCTATTTGTCTGAAAGATTGTTTACATGTGAATCCGTAGTTTTTTGGGATACTTAGTTTAACAGGGAACACTTTTTTAATGCAACAGAATCATTGAATATCTTCCCTTGCTTAACATTCACCTTGACAAGATATGTCAATGAGAAGTTAATTAAGTTTTGCAAGACACAGGGCATTGGGAAAACTGCAGTTGATTTGTTTCATTCCTTTAATTTAAAAATTTACTCTTGAGATCTACCTGCCGCCCTTGATTTGGAGAATGGAATGATGATGATTCTTTGTTTCCCTATTGGTTTGATTGCCTGCATGATGGCTTTCTTGTATTAGCTCTGTCTGATCATTCTCCTTAACTTTCATATACTTTTGGTATTGATACTTGTAATTATGTGGTTATTCAATTATTCAGCCTTGGAAAGCAAAATAAAGCACTTGAACTTCTTTGATCATTTATTTATTTTAATTAAGACACGAAAAACCAAGCTTGATATGTTTAAAGTTGCCTTAAATTCTTAACACTTGCATGTTACATGAACTTAACAATGGTAACTTTGATCTACTTGTATGTCAGAATTGGGAGGATGAAATGATGATTATTTGTTTCCCTATTGGTTTGATGGCCTGAATGATGGCATTTTTGTATTAGCTCTATCTGATCATTCTCCTTATATTATTATGTGTAATCAATCATATGGATTATTTAAAAAATCATTTGCATTTGGTTGTAATAATGCAAGGGAACTTTTATGATGTTTGTTTTTTCTTCTTGTGATTGGTTATCGCTTAGAACTTGTAAACCTCGAAAAGAAAATCAAACCTGATGTTTGGGTTATCTTTTGTTCTTTTAGATTGGGAGTTGTGGACTATTGGAATTGGAGAAAGAAATGATGATTAATTCTTTCCCTATTGGTTTGATTGCCTGGATGATGGCATCTTGTATTAGCTCTATCTGATCATTCTCCTCGATAATGTCCATAGCATTGTACTTTTCTATTTAAGCAATTTGGAAAAAAATAGTTCTTCACCCTAGATGATAATGGGGTATATGAATTGTTCTGGTGGGAAACACGTTTTATAAGGGTTTGTTGCTTAAATTTGTTACTTTTCCATGTTCTGATTTCATTACATGAGAATTATCTCAAAGCTAAAAAACATGGTGGAATCTTTTGTTTTTCCAGAGCAGTTAAATGCTTGTGCAATATTCAACCTGTCTTGTTTAATTCTGTTTTTCTGTTCCTTTATCAAGTGGTCCCCGTGAAGATGCTACTCGAATTGGCTCTGCTGGAGTTGTTAGGAGACAGGCTGTGGATATCTCGCCTCTTCGCCGTGTTAATCAGGCAATCTATCTTCTAACCACAGGTGCACGTGAAGCTGCTTTCAGAAATATTAAGACCATTGCTGAATGCTTGGCCGATGAACTTATTAACGCAGCAAAAGGTTCATCCAACAGGTATGCTGTTATATTTCTTTTCCTGGAATATGTAATTTCCTTATTATTGGATCTTCTATTTCTGTTTGATCTTATGTTTCATCGTTTAGTGATTTGCTGAAAAATAATTCCATTTCAGCTATGCTATCAAGAAAAAGGATGAGATAGAGAGAGTCGCCAAGGCCAATCGTTAAGCAACTTTTGGAAGTAGTTGCTATTAAGAAAAAGGATGAGATAGAGAGAGTCGCCAAGGCCAATCGTTAAGCAACTTTTGGAAGTAGTGTTAGTGATGAGAAATATTGTTTTGGTCTTTGTACTTCATTAATTATAAGCTTTGTTATTTTAAACAGGGTGTAATACTTTTGCTGGTGGGTTTTTTTTACTGTTCTTGTTGGAGGATTAACATTTCATGAACAATTTTGTTGCTTAGACGATGATTTGTTTTCCAAAGATCATTTCAGGGTATTATGGTTTTTGTCCCTACTTACTTTAATTATCCTGTAATTCATAGTTTAGACGTCTGGGTACTAGGGTTTAAACCTTAACGTATCTTGTTACATTGGCGTGTGATGTGATGATGTGTAAAATGGCCAGTCTTGCTACTTTACTTTTGTTTTCAAAATTAATTCAGTTGACAGCATAATGAGATCACGTAAAATTTGCCCAATGGCTCGTTATTTATTTTATGAATTTGGATGTTGAATACCTTGGAGAAAGAACAGTGGTAAAGCATAAAAAGTGGAAAATTGTGGTTTTTATTATTTTTCAACATTAATTTGACTCTTAAAATCCCCAAGTTGAGTCATCACGGTAGTGAATTTTGCAGCTTTAGTCTTGCTCCCGTTAGTCTGTTGTTTGATATTATTTTATAGCATATATTTTTTTGATTATTTGAGAAAAAATTTGTATGTTTTCTACAATTCTTAGAAACTAGCATGATTTTCATTATAAAATGTTATGAATACGAAATTAGTTATTAAAATCCAGTTAAGTATTAAAATCGCTGAATAAAAATGGATTGAATATGCACGCAGTTGACAATTTGCTACGAATTGAAAAAAACCACAGTAAAGGTTTTTGGGTTATGTAAATTTTCTGAACATGTAGGATCGAGTTTTTTTAAAAAAAGAAAAAGAAAAATTGAGCATTACACTTCGGGCCGTAGAAATCGTGGGATAAAATGTGCAAAACGTGCATTACCTAGATAAGTGCAGACGGTTCTAGTTCTTACAAGAAACATTTTGGCATTACTAGTACTTTTTACTTTTTAACCAAGGGAAAAACAAGTTCAGGACAATCCCTTTAACAAATCATTGTAAACTCGTAACTTAGTTAACAGATGATTTAAAATTCTTTTACATAGTTAATGGATTTTTTCGTTCTTTATTCGAGTATATTTATACTTCTTGAGTCTAAGACTTTATAATTATATTATTTGAAGCTGCACTTCCAAGCTCCGGGAAAAACACAATTTTAAAGCTTTTGGACAAAAGAATTGCCTGGTTAAAGTTGATTGGATAAATTTTTTCAAAGTAATGCAGTCAAACATGTCATGTATGCTGACGGGACTAGTCCCGTCACTGATACTGACGGGACTCGTGCCACGTCAGCGCCACGTAGGCAATCCAATTACCGTAAATCTTCGGAAGACCATAACTTGTGACTCGGGTATCCAAATCAGTTGATTTTTTTTTTGATTTCACATAACTTTTCGAGATCTACGCAATGATACCTCATTTGACATATTTTATCTCCCACAAACATAGTTTGAATCCCGTCACTGATACTGACGGGACTCGTGCCACGTCAGCGCCACGTAGGCAATCCAATTACCGTAAATCTTCGGAAGACCATAACTTGTGACTCGGGTATCCAAATCAGTTGATTTTTTTTTTGATTTCACATAACTTTTCGAGACTACGCAATGATACCTCATTTGACATATTTTATCTCCCACAAACATAGTTTGAATTTGTAACAATTGTATCACAATCACAAGAGTGTTTATCCATAAGATTATGTTTGTGGGAGATAAAATATATCAAATGAGGTGTCATTGCGTAGATCTTGAAAAATTATGTGAAATAAAAAAATTCATCTGATTTGAATACCCGAGTCACAAGTTATGACCTTCCGAAACTTAACGATAATTGGACTGCCTACGTGGCGCTGACGTGACACGAGTCCCGTCAGCATAAGTGACATGTTTGACTGCATTACTTTGCAAAAACTTATCCAACGAGTAATTTTTTTGTCCAAAAACTTTAAAATGTTGCTTTAGCCTCCAAGCTCCAGCAGTGATTTAAATAATAGTAATTTGCATGATTTATGAAATAATTTTAAGGAGTTTTTTCCCCCTCTTAATAAGTGAATATTGATAATTTGCTCGTATTGGAAAGTGGAAACCCTTGGGGAGTTCGGGGTTGTTGAAACGTGAAAATCGAAGCCGAATCAAAGAAAAGAGAAGCCTATTCTACTGTTTTCACAATTGAAGTTTGGATCAGACTTGAGAAAGTGAATAAACAACTCCAATCAAAAACTGGTTGTTGGAATCGAAATTTATAAATAGCAAATCTGTGACTGTTAGTAAAAGCTGATAACACAGCAGTGAGTCAGTGACTAGTGAGCGAGCGCTGTGAAGTTAGTTGCATGCGAAGGCCGAGAATTATGAGATCAAATATCGTTTCTGAGGTAAACTCCCGATCCAAACCCTCTCTCCCCTCTATTTTCTTCGATTAAACTCTTTATTTTTCCGTTTCTGGTCGGAGATCTCGAAGTTTTTTTTTTTTTTTTTTTTAAATTGGTCATTATTTCATTTATTGTTCCGTTCATTTGTGTTCTGCATGATCTATGTCTGTCAAAGCCTGGAAGCTCTGAAAATGAAGCAAATTATGAAATCAACTATATCGCTTAATTTATAATTCGCTGTTTTTTTTTTTTTTTAATCCCCGCAAATTCCATTAACTGCTGTTGTAGAATTGTTAGATAGAGTTTTGCTTCCTTCCCGTGTTATTTTGATTTTGTGATTAATTTTCCTTGATGACATTCTTAAATCTTAACACAGGCAGGGGTGCCTACTAGGTTGAATCAATGGTGGGAAAGCATTCCATTCCTCACTTCTGCAGTTGTAGTTGTCTGTGGAATAATTTACTTGGTTTGTCTTTTGGTTGGATATGATTCCTTCGCCGAGGTATGCTTCTTGCCGTCTGCTGTTGTATCTCGGTTTCAAGGTATATATATTTTTTTCTTCAAGTCATATTATATTGTTTAGTCAATTTAGTTTATTGTCTGGATAAGTTTAGAATCATTTAATGCTGCATATTTGGAGCAATAGGCTCTTCTACTGACTTTTGAAGTTGTTTGGATGGGCTGATCCTCCTGTTATTCATAATTTAGAACACCTTCAGTAGAATTCCTAATCCTCTTTTTAATGTATGTATGATTTCCATCTGTGAAATTCAAATTATAAATTTCTCATTAATTTGTGACTCTTAATTTTTTATTCTTTATTTTGTTTCTACTTTTCTGTTTTGTTATTTCCCCTGAATAATTTTGAAGCCCGCAAATATTTTAGTGCAGAAAACCAAATCCATTCATCTTGTGAGATATATTCCCAGCACTGACATGTTGAATCGGGTTCTAGTGGCTGCTGTAAACTTAAATATTCTTTAGCTGCTATGTCTAAGAAACATCTTTTGTAAATATTGTTGAATGCCATGCTGTTTTTTTTTTTTTTTTTTTTCATTTGTTGGCTGCTCCCATTTTGTAATTGTCAAATTGCCCTGCTCAGATTTTTTTTTTTTTCATGCAGTTTACAGGATTTATACCGCCATTCTTTTCCATGGTTCACTGCTTCATGTTCTCTTCAACATGATGGCTTTAGTTCCCTTGGGCTCTGAGCTGGAGAGGATCATGGGTTCAGTTCGGTTGCTATATGTCATTATTTTGTTGGCTACAAGCAATGCTATATTCCATGTTCTCATAGCACTGCTGGCGGCACACAATCCTTTTCATGCTTATGAATACCTTATGAATGAGTGTGCAATAGGCTTCTCGGGGGTTCTATTTTCGATGATTGTTATAGAGACAAGCCTGAGTGGAGTTCAATCCAGGAGGTTGGCTATATAAACATTTCTGCTGTACTGGGAATAGTAATAATCACCTTTTTCTTTTAAGATAATTTGGCAGAAACCACGTTTTGTAAGCTTGACAAGATATTGAAATAGTAGTGTTGTTAAAAAGTTTTCAGAAATGATGCTAATGATTATTTTGAGAATGTTATCTCATACTGGGAGAACTGAATGATGATAGGGTTCATATCACTTTTGTACTGTTTTATTAATACTGCTTCCTGACCAGTTCACCCTGCAACGGTTTTCTTCACTTGTTTTACTGAAAAGACATTATATTTTGATAAGATGTGCTATGTTACATATCATGAATCTATAAAGGTACACTAATTTACTAACTTTTTCTAATCTTTCTGCAGTGTGTTTGGATTGTTTAATGTGCCTGCCAAGTGGTGAGTGTAGTTTTATATAAATATTTATTTCATCTTGATGATTTCCTTATATGATAATTGGGCATATTATGTTTTAGGTATGCATTCTTTTTGTTGGTAGTTTTCCAGCTTCTCATGCAAAATGTCTCACTACTTGGACACCTTTGTGGCATTTTATCTGGGTTTGCATGTCAGATTTCACTCTTTTTGCCTCCTTTGTTTTTTGTTTTCTATTATTACCAATAATATGAGCAATTCACCTCAGATTTTATAATGCTATGCTTAATGTTTCAGATACATATGGTTTGTTTGATATCCTCATACCCGGGCCTTCTTTTTATTCTTCCATTGAATCCTCCTCCTGGCTAGTAAGTATCTTTCTGGAATTGGCTTTGTTTGTGCGCCACAATGGGAAAATTTGCAATTGTTAGTTACATGATTTTATGTTGAATGTCTAAGGGACTGTCAAATCCATATCAGATGTGTGTTATTCATTTGCTGTCTTCCTCCAGCTGTTGTCCATGCTACAAATAGTGTTAACTTTTACGTTAAAGTGTTTGTATGTTTGTGAGTGTACTTGTTATCTTAAATAATTGGACTAAGACAGACAAAGTTGTTTTTGTTATCTTGTCTGATGATTCTCTTCCTTTATTTCCTTCTGTTACCAAAAATAAATTTGAGATATTGGATGAGATTGTCTAACATGTGCGCTACTTGATTAGTCAATTTATATGAAAAATGTTTGGAGTACTAAATTAATATAAACACAACATTTTAAAGTCTCAAAATATCAATTTACTCGAAATGTATTAGTCACATAAACCACTCAAGTGGTTAATAATGTTAAAAGAATGGTTAAATTCGTAGCCACATATTCACTTAATTAACCACTGGTGTGGTTAATGTATTTAGTTTTGATAATTCTCCCCTTTTGGGGGCTAATTGAGTTTACAAAAATGGGTTGATGTACTGAACAAGTTTTGACTGACTGGAATATTAACAAATATCTTTTGTATTTATCTTGGTAATTGCATTTATTTTAAAATGAAAAGGGAAAATGGAAAAAGCATTAACTAGACATTCATGTTATGAAAATACAATCGTATATATCGTCATATGTGGACTTTTAGTAGTGTTTATGTTTATCCTCTTGACTTTCAGTCATCATGTGTGAGACGTCCTAAATTTATTGTTTGCACTGGCGGAAATCCCTCGGGTTATATCCCTACGCATACAAGCCAAAATTCAACAGCCAGGTAAGTCCTGTGGTTTTCACACTAAACCTTACCGGTGGCTGTGGATATCTACTAACCTACATTTTAAATCTACACTTTCATGGGGCAGTGGAATACTTTCTGGAAATATTTGGAGGAACCTGTCATCATTGATGCCTCAAAGGGAAGTCTCTGCTCAGGTATGTGAGTCATGTTGTCTTATAAGTGCTTTTTGTGGACTCTCAATTAATCTTGTACATGTTTGTTGGCATGATAACCTTGTTTGCATTTCTCATTATGTGATGAAATTGTTGTGTAATATACATTCATGCAAGTGAATGTGGAGGTACTATATATGATCTTTTTGTCAAGTCAATTTCTGTAGAGTTAATTTCATAAAAGTTTGTTAGTGTGTGTGACCTTGGTTGTCTTGCGCAGTATGTTAAAAAATGCAAAGAATAATTACTCGTTTGTACTTACCTGTTCATTAGAGATTTATAAATTAAAAGTAAAGGTGCTCTAGTGCTTAGGTTTTTCTGTCTGGCTTGAAGTTAGTTGTTCCTTCTCTTTTATTGTGTTACTTACTAGTTATTCTTCACGAGATTTTCTTGAGATTTACACGGCTGGAAAGTTAAAGGATTTTATGACCCGGGATTATTATTATTATTTTTTAATTTGAATTGATCTTTTGTCGTCAACTCAGAAGGTTGTATCTGTTGGATTCATCAATTCATCCATCATCCATCGGGCTGTAACACCAGCCATTGGTATAAAAAAATAAATCATGCTATTTGCGCTACATTAATGGGAATATGAAATTTTAGAGCATGATTTTGCCCTGTTCATTTTAATGATATATTGTCCATCCGTTTCAATTTGTTTATTGATTGGCTTTGAATTTAGTGATGCCTTGCGGTTAGCAACAATAGTTTTGATTGAGTACTCACTAAATTGGGGTTACGTCAAATTGAATTGGAAGTTGAAAGCTCAAATTGGATCCCTGCCTTTAATGCAAGTCATTGTTTGCAAGTTTCTATTATGTATTCATGTCTATATTCTCCTCAATCAGCTGGAGGCTTCGATATATAGACATTTTATTGTATTATGTGATACCTTGCAGTCAATTGAGGACAATAGGTTCCCTGGGAGGGCAAGGACCCTTGGTTCTGGTCAAGGTCAAATGGCTTCTGGTCCTCATTCAGATTCAAATCTTCAAGCTAGACTCTTGGATGATAGCAATCCCAACCATCCTTTAGACTCATCCACTCGTAGTACTACTCAACCGTTATTAGAAGGAAGGTACGAGAGTATTGACCATAATTAATAATTTATGGTGGTTGCTTATTATTAAGTAAAATTTCAGCATGCTTACCACAATCATCTTTTCCTTTGTAGTTTGAACCTGTGGTAGTATTTAGAGTGTTAGGCATATATGCTGATAAACTTATATTGTTTTTTCTAGGAGTGATAATTTTCAATATGAACCCAGCCGTAGTTACACGAGCTTTTTGTGTTGTAAATGTGCCTGTACATTAAGCATTTGTTTTCAAGTTAATCTGTCTAGACCGAATTAATTTATGTAATACACATTATTGCAGTTATGAGGGTGAGTCTTCGAGTAGTGGTAATGTTATTCCTTATGATTGGAAGGTCGTGGGTTGAAGTGTGGGAAACAGCCTCTTTACAAAAATGCAACAGTAGCATATCAAGAAGTCTTGCGCACCGCAGTTTACCCTTTTATGTTAGTACAATTATGTATAACTTAAATCTAATATTAAAAATTATAGAGTATTTATTTTTTATATTTTTTGAAATTACAAAATATGTAACATTATTTTAACTATAAGCTATTTCAAATCTTCATCTAGCATAAATATGTATTAACATTAAAATCATTTTAAGTAAAATACTTCATAAATAATTCAACTTATATGTGCATAATTATTGTACTCCTAGATATATTCATAATAGGGTTTATTATTTCTCTTGTCATAGGAGACGTCATTTTGGGTTAAGTGGAAAAGAAAAATGTCACAATTTTTGTAATTTTAGTTTGTTTTGGGGCCTATATTAGTCTTTTGTGATAATTTCTTTTCACTTAACCCAAAACGATGTTGTTTTGTGTATGAAGGAGAAACAATAAACCTTTCATGATATATGTCTAACTTATAGCATATGAGCTTATAACATCTACAAAATAATAAATACGCATACAAGATACACCTTTCTTTATAATCTAATGTTCATTAATGGGCTGCTTGAACTTTATGAAGGTTGAATTCTAGTAATTTTTATGAAAGGGTTCATTGAGTTGTAAATAGGTTGATTTCTAACTGTTAGATATGATTAGTCTGTAATTATTCTGATTATATTCTGATTGTATTAGGTCTGGGCCTTTCCTATAAGCCCATTAGAGTCTCTATATATTGTAACTCTCTGAATTAGATCAATACACAACATATTATTTTATATTCAAGTTGGTACCAGAGCTCTTTCGTTTTGGGGACCCTCGCTTCCTCTTAGAAACCTTGTTTTTGCCTTAAAACCTAAGCCCACTGCTTAGGAGTCGTCCTTTCTTTGCCGTGCATCCTTCCGGCAAGACATCAAGGACCGTAAGTCCCTTTCCGAGCAATTTCCGAACGCGTCAACACCTCCGACGGTCATCGGAACCACCATCCGCCACCGTCAGCCACTGTTCAGGCGACTTTTCCGGCGAGTTTTCAGCTCGGTCAGCACGCGATCAGAACCCCCTTCCTCCGGCGACCTACTCTGCAGAAGGCCCATCACCGGCGGCCAAGTCACGTGCCCTCACGTGCGGCTGAGCTTCTCTGCGCGTGGTCCTCACGCGCCGCCTCTCACCGGCGCGTGAGCACTGTTCCGGTGGCTTTTTCCGGCCACTCCAAGACAGAACCCCCTCTTCATTACTTATTTAAATTAAACTTATCTATTAATATCACTAACATGGGTTGATTATTATGTTCATGTTTGGGCTGGGCCGCTGGCAACTAAATATGAAAATATTCTTCCCCCTTATTATCAGTGGAAATGAAATCTAAACAAAGTATGATTGCTAATATCAGTGTAGTATCTCTTGCTTGGATCGTTAAGTGAAATTGCTATATTTTAATAGGATAGTTTAGTACTACTATTGTGTTATTCAGAAGTTTGTGTTTCTGTGCATGAATGATGTTCACTTAATTTTCTAATTCAATATAGGCGTTCAGTTGATAATCTAGCTACAGCAGCTGCAGGTGTTCCACAGCATCAGGTCCCTTTACTTACAGTTGAAACTTTCTTGTTTCTTCTGGCTCATCTGGATCTATAATATTCATTATTTTTTGCCCCTATGAATGCAGGGTGCAGTTGCTTCAGAGGAAGAGATTAAAAAACTTGTATCAATGGGCTTTGATAGGGTAAAAATCAATTTCCATTTCTTTTTAAGGGGCCAAGAAAATGACTTGGAACTTCTGATACTTTCACGTTTGTCCTTGCATATTATGGTTGCACATCTGAGAATGGTTTTCTCTCGAAGAGATCAAGTGTTGAAAGTTATCGCCGTTTGATCTCCCTATCTGTCCTTCTCTCTCATTTCTTATTGGTCTCATTATATATATATATATATATATATATATATATATATATATATATATATATATATTGAGAACGTATCATGTGAGAGCGTGAGATTGAATGGTCAAGATTAGTTCCTCTCACTTCTTACGTTCTCACTTGATATGCCTCCTCCCCATCTCTCTCTCTCTCTCTCTCTCACTTCATATGAAATCTGGCTGAATAAGTTGTGGTTTTGTTTGATAAGTAATATCTGTAATAAAATATCTCACCATCGAATTCTTTTCTCAGATGTGATGACTGTTGAGGTATCATTCCGATGCATGTGCATGAAATGTAGATTAAAATTTAAAACCTGCAGCTCAGTTTTTTTTTTTTTTTTTTTAATTTTTTTTTCTGCATTTGTCTTTGGGCTCCTTTCAGACACAAGTGGAAGTGGCGCTGGCAGCAGCTGATGGTGATCTTAATGTGGCTGTGGAAATACTCATGAGCCAGCAGGTCGTAGTTGATTATTATTATTTTTTTATTATCTGTAATTCTTGACGTTTACTTGTTTACGTATTTGTTTCTTGATTATTTTTTATTGAAAATAATCTTCGGTTATTGCATTTGCAGGGTTAAAGCAGGAAAGCTGCTCGTGTATTCCAAGAGAGACTACTCTGTTAATTATCTCCCTGGGCTTTGTTCAATCAGTGTGTTTGATCTTGGACCCTACCACTAACAGTTCGCCGACCACCATGCTAACGCCAATTAACAGAGTTGAACATATGTAAACAGCATAAGCAAAACTAATGCCATAACAAGGTTTGTTATGATGTTTAACTGAAGAAATTCTTGAGGGGAAGGAACATATGTAGACAACATAAGCGGTACTAATGCCTTAAACAAAGTTGAATATGATGTTTAACTGAAGAAATTCTTGTGGGGAAGGTTGTAGCCAAATTGTAAGCATTCTGTTCATAGCTCAACTTTTCTTTTTTGGTTGCCCTTGTCTTCCCCTTTCAATATGTTTATATATAATTATATGTAGAAGAAGGTCTCCACCTCTGTAATGGTGCAGCAAAACAGTTTTCCAGACCATTAGGTAACGGTTATCACTTACGGAAAGGTACGGTATCTCGGGTTACGTCTTAGTTGTTTTTCGACTAGAATGACGTCTATAAAGACAAATTATAAAGGTATTAGGAGACCATTAGGAGAGAAAGAATGTAATTTTTTTTAGAAGAAATAAGGAAGATTGATCAATTCAAGGAAGGAGGATGCAATTTTTTCTTAATAGATAAAGAGCAACAATGCATTACTTAATGTTCTAAAGTGGACAAATTGATTGATTTTGACTATGAATGGAAATTATATTTTTTTGGGGGTGTCTTTCTATGATAAATGATAATGATATAAAATAGCCACATCTAACTTCAGAGTCAAATTTTGATGAAACACCAATTTCCTTCTGAAAGATTCATGATATATTTTCATAAATGGGGAATCTCAAATTGGGGAAAATATTTAACTGTTGGATAGAAAAGTGCTGATTTTTATTTATTTTTTAATCCGTTGAAAATCAAACTTAAAATACCTAATTAAAATTTGCAAATCAAATGACTACATTGGGAAAGATTAATTAACGAAGTTGGGTGGGAGTTAATCTGGATACAATAAAAGGAAGGAAAAGATTTTTCCAACTGAAATCTAAAAATTATGCAAAGTAACCCTAGACATCAATAATTTTTTAGATGAATCAAAGCATATTGTCGTCTCCTCCCAAAGAAAAAAAAAGGGATCAACTTTGCTGACCAATTACTTTTGATCCACAATCAGCATTATGAAAAGAGAAATAAACCATATAAGCTAAAATAAAATTATCGACCCCAAAATGTCATCATTTTGGGTTAGGAGAAAAAAAAATTATAATGAGAAAAAGTAATATAATTTTAGAATAAATTAGAATTACAAAAATATTTTTTTCTCAATTTTAAAACAACGTCATTTTGAATAATTAGAAATAAGTTATCTCGAGATATCAGAGTAATATTAAATCCCTAAACTAAAAAAAGAATTAAATATTAAGAAAAAGTTCATCAATGCCCCTGTGGTTTGCTTCAGAATCACTTATGCCCCTGTGATTTTTTTTCTATCACTTATGCCCCTGTGGTTTGCAAAAGAATATGTTTTTTTATTACATATGCCCGTGGTTTTTTATTTTTTACAAAGGACAGAGACATATGTGATAAAAAAAAATCACAAGGGCATAAGTGATTCTGAAGCAAACCACAGAAGCATTGGTGTGATCGTGTTTGAAATATATTAATTTATCTGTGTGATTTTGAAAATTCATTTTGTGCTAGTCCCTTTCTCTCTATTAATTATAGGGAAAAATGTCTCTCAGAAATTTCAAAGAATTAGCTTCCTACCTTACAAAACAAAGAGGGCTGGTTGACTTGACTTTCACTTTCATATTCTACTTATCTGTTTTTCTTTCATTCCTGGTTCTTACATTCATGACCTGCTCAGAATTATAACTCTAAATTTCGCCATTAACGTTGCTGATTACCCTTTGAGGAGCATGGGTGAATATCTGCCAACTAGAAGCACGTATATATGCACAACACCTATAATTTTTTTTTTTGGTCATCATATCTTTTTCTGCTTTGTCACTGTTTACCACTCTATTTCAAATTTCAATCGTTTAGGACTTAATTTATTCCTTCTGGATGTAATACTCAAAATTCACTTGCTTTTTCTATTTCTATTCTCATCCAGTAATATTTATATATTAGTTTAGAGCACTTATGAATTGTTCACTGCCTTAATTATATATTTGTAGTCTTTAAGCTTTTGGTGCTATATATACGTTTGTATCATCCTTTTTCATTGTTTTCTATCTTGAAGACTTCGTTGCTTTCGTTTATTTGTTTGTAATGGCAGCTCAGATGTAGCTTCTAGAATGGATAGCCTGAAGGGAACGAAAACTGATTTTGAGACATTCACTTGGAAGATTGAAAATTTCTCAAAGCAAAACACCAAGAGTCTTCGATCCAAGGCTTTTCGAATCAGAGGTTATAAATGGTACATGCAAATGAATTTGAAAAGTTTTTTTTTTTTTTTAATTGTATTATTCACTTTTAGATAGCTATATGATTAATAAAAATGAAAATAAATATTGACAAATGGTATATACATGTGACAATATATTATGATAATATTTTACATTCTTAATTAGTCTTCCTATTTTTACTTTTAATTAATCATGCTACGCATCTTAATCATGTCACAGGCGGATTCTTTTGTATCCATTAAGGAGTAATGTCGATCATTTTTCATTATATTTGATGGTTGCGGATTCTTTACCACCATATGGATGGAGTAGAAACACATATTTCAAGTTGGCTCTAATCAACCAGGTGGATGGCAATAAGTCAGTTGTAAAGGGTACATATTAATCTTAATTGTTCTCTTTTTGTTTTTTTTCTGTTAAATGGTTGTCTTGTTACTGAATTTGTTGATCTCATCGTAATCACGTCAAATTTGTATGTTGTATTTTTGCTTTTCGTTAGTTACTTTGTAAGTAATTAACATTAAGGTTCTATTAATCTCTGGTTGCCCGTTGCTTTGCTGCAGAGAAATTACACATGCTTTTCAGGATACGGTGATTAAGGTTCTATTAAGATTTCGTATCCTGAAAAAAAAAAAAAACTCATGAAAAGCATGTGACTGCTGCACCGAACATTGTCTTTACTACAAGTTTACAGCTGAAGAGACATATTTCTTTAACATTAACCAACAAAGGATATTTGCCATTTGCAAATAAATTTAGTAATTCTAAATTTCTAGTTCCTGATATAGATTTGTACATTTTCAGAGACTCTGCAGAAGTTCAATGGTGGATATCGTAGCTGGGGCTCTTTATTCGTGAATCTCAAAGACTTCTATGACTCTGAACAAGGCTATCTTGTGAACAACACGTGCATCATTGAAGCTCATATTTGTGTCTCTGATCTTAACACTATTCAAGGTGACAACTTGAACAAAAATACTCCAACCAACGACTCCAAACAAAGTGATCAGGAAACAGAAACATCAGATGGGAGTGAGACACCTAGTTCCACAACAAGTTGGTCTAGTCAAATGGAAGAGGAAGTTAAAGACACAGAGTTGACACTAAGAGACCTTGTAGATTTGGAGAGTTTAGGAAGAGAAGAAGCAGCTTTTGTTCCACTTTTGGAGGAGGCTTGTACATGGCATCCTTCTCTATTACTGAGCCAGAGGAAAAGATCTAGCTGGTTCAAACTATGGGCATTCATATCTTTGGGCCAAGTTTTGCATTTCCTCAAAACAAGGAAAGTGAAGGATATGAATGAAGATGCATGCAATCACCTTCAAGGTTTGTGGGAGGAACTTGTTAAGGCATCTGGGTTTAAATTGGATTGGTTGGAGCCTCATGTTCAATCTGCATTGGGCGTGAAAGTTCATATGGAAAGAACAGTGGCAGCGAATGAACTAAAGGACAGAGTGGTTGCTTTGGAGATTAAACTGAAGAAGCTGAGGGGAGAATTGGCAGCTGCAGAAGATGAGTTTGAGTTGGCAAGGAGAGAGTTGGTAGAAGCAAGAAAAGGTTACATGGAGATTGATTTGTATGCTGAATTAGGTTATGCCATGTTTTAGACAAATTGCATTTACAGTGAACTTATTTTGCTGAAGGTTCTCTAAAGTTCCATTTCCTTGCAAAATATTGGATCGTTTATAATTTTTTTTTTACAAATTTTTGCAAATTACACTATGTATTCCTGGATGTACATAGTATAACTTAATGTACTTCTGGAAATACATAGTATAATTTGTAAATATAACCCTTTCCTTCTATAATACTTCTCATTATAGGGAAATATTTTCAATACTATAGATATACTGACAACTCAATATATCTTTTATCAAATATGGAAAAAAATAACACATTTTCACTGTTCATGCTTTTATGATTATTTCTTTCCATATCCTTATTTTTTTCTTTTATGATAAAGATGCAACTATTTTTGTGCTGAAAATTCACTCCCTTTATGGGTAATGATTTTTACATGTAACTTTTTATTTTCACATAACTAAATCTGCACGCTGAGTGATTCTTATATAAAATTGAGTGAAGATATTTTAACTATAAAAAACTCTCACTACTAACTTACTACCCATCACATCACCATTGGATTAAAGAGAGAGAATGTTAAAAGATTTTTGAAGAGAGAGAAAATGTTAATCTAATGATGATTAAATAAGTAGTAAATTGATAGTGAAAAATTTTGATAGTTAGAATATCCCTACTCTATAAAGTTACCCATACAAAAATCTATTTCAAGAAGATATAATAAAATGTTTATTTATGTACCAAATAAAATGTTTATTTCTTTAACATATGTTAATCTAAACACGGATTATGTATTGATCTCACAATTCAAGATGCATTATTATGGATAGTTTTTAGATTTATCAAAATTATGGATTATAAACATATTTTGGGAGAAGATTAGTTTTTTTTTTGGTATATTTATTCTTACTGAAATTATAAGTGTGACTCAATTTGATTTATTAAAAGAGAAAAATGTTTTTATTTTTTCTGCAAAAAAAAAATTATTTATCACACTCACATAAAAATAATTAAATCCTATTATAAAATAAAAAAAGAAAAGAAGTTAATGGAATCTATCCATTTTTATACAAGGGGCATTTGGTAAAGGACATTTTCTTTTTATCAGGAAAACATAATTACTGAAAATATTGTATGAAGATAAGTTTGATGGGAAAGATAAAAAAAAGTTATTTGATATATTGAAATATTACCGAAAAATTAATTTAAGTTTCAAAGTTTATGTTTGGTTAAAAGTAAAATATTAATGAAATAATAGATGTAAATTACGTAAATGGACATTTTAATTTTTGAATCTGAAAATTTCCCCAATCTACCATTCTACTATTCTCTCACTCTTTTTATCTCTCAAATCCCCCCAATCTCTTTCTGCAATTCCCTCACTCACATATTCTCTTCCTTCTTTTCTCATGCTCACCCCTCGTTGTCCGTCGCTCTAGCCACATCTCGTTTCTTCGCCATTGAAACTTCGCCGAAGATCACTGCGGCGGTTCCGCGGGATTTTCTATATGAGATCTACAGTATGAGATTTTCAATACCAAATCTTCAGCACCCACAAATTGAAAATGATATTTTGCAGAGATGAACGACTGGATTTGGTAGTCGAGTGTAATTTTGCAGTCATGTACATTAGTTAGAAGAGAATAATTTTGTCACGTTTGTGGTCCACTTTTTTCCATTTAACCGGTTTTCTTCAAATACCATATTTGAAGTGGTAAACTTGCATAGTGTTTTTAATCCCATTTTTCATACAATTCTCAAACTCTGGCCAAATGAGTTTGCTGGATAAATTTTATAATATCTTCCACTAAATAAGGATAATAAAAAAGGAGTTTGCATCTATCATTTTACATGATACAAAATTTTTTTCGACACATACAACATTTTGTGGGGTTCACACTTTTTTAAACAAAAAAAAAAAAAAAACTACAGCACATAAAATAAATTTCTATAACATTACACAATTACATAAAACCTAATAAAAAATGCCAAACTGAGATGACCGGATATCTTTGTTTAAAGAAAACCCTACCAAATACTACCTGAATAACAAATATATTTGTTTAAAGAGTTGACTTCAATATAAAGAATTTCACTTCATATTCCACGCGCTTACACCTTCACGGGATCTTTACTCACATTCGAAATTACGTCAGTAGTATTATTTTATTTGAGAGTAAATTTTTTTTTAAGTCTCTAACAAAAAAATATAATTATTATTTAAAAAAATAAATTAATTTTTGATCTCTCTATAATTCTAATTATTTAAAAATGTGATTACTTAAAAATTCAATAAAAATTTAATTTAATTCTTAAAAAAATATTAATATGAATATTTTTTTTATAGGAAACGAAAATGGGATTATGTATTTATGTGTTAGTGACCTGAGTTTTACTCTATGTAACGAAGATTCTGCTTCAGGCGTACACGTTTTCCAAAATTGACCTGCCTTACATCATGGTTTGTTCACTCATCACTTTTTATATTTTTCATTCTAAGTGCAAAATTGAATTAATGGTTATAAAACAATGTTTGAAAAAGCTCTATTTTTTAAGAAATTTATTCGTAGAAAAATTTCGTCGAAGTTACTGACAGAACTTCATCGAAAATAGGATAAAAATAAATTGTTAAAAATTGAGATAGAATTAGAGATGGAAATAAATTCCATAAAAAATAAAAATAGAATCTGTTTTGATCATTCTCATTTCTCAACGAAAAATAAATTTTGTTGAAATTATTTAATGAAAAATATTAAGTAAAAATTGTTGATTTAATTTTGATTTAATTATTAATGAAAAACATACTATCTAATATACAAAAACACTTTTTTAAAACTTGTACTTAAAGACGCATATATAAGGAGTGGATTGTTTCCTTGAGTAGCTCAAGTTTGGAAATAAATTTATAGTGTAATTGATATTCTGAAGATTCAGTATAACTATTATTTATTTTGTGAAACGTAGACAAAAAATATCACATCATCTAAAAAAGAAAAAATTAATGACAGTGACCAGATAATGTAATATTTTTTGTTCACATGTCATAAAATGAATGGACAGTTACACTGAATCTTCAGCGCATCGATTTCACTAAAGATTTATTCCAAGTTTGAATAATAAGAAAATAAATAAAATTTTGAGCTAAAATCGTTTATAAATTAAACTACTGTACTACACACTACAATATTAGGTTAGTTCATGAATTTTTTGGACACTACATTGAACATAGCTACCAATATTATGCATATTGTCATTCTCAAACTGCTTTAAGCAACAACAACAAAAAATGTCAAGTTCAATAAGTGGATATAAGTCCTTTTTAAGTAGAGCGGCCAAAAATAAACGAAGCGAATTGAATCAGATTAAATAAATAGTGAACCGGTTTCAAGTAATTTGCCAATTTGGTTCGATTAAAAAAAATTAATTTGGGTTATTATCAATTAGCGAACTAGACTCAATCTCATACCCTTATGAAATAGAAATTCTTAACTAACTTCACCCGCCCTCGCAATAATTAATGCTAATAGTTATTTGTTGCCGTTTGTACTTTTAAATATGTGGCCAAAAAATAAGTTAAAAATAAAACAAAAATATGCCGAAGTACAAACTCCTTTTTTTTTCGGTAAAGAAGTACAAACTCCTTTAACTTTGCTTTAAACTTCAATATTCAAAAGGCATGTATTTTAGTGAATTTCATCATAAAGTGTTAATTCCATTTTTCATATATGGCATTAGGTGAAATTTTATAAGATTTTAATAAAGGATATAAATTTAAATTTTGGTTGTTATTTTTACCTTTTAATTTATATAAATAGAATTGCCAGAAGTAGTACTTTCTTCGTCATAAATTTACTTTGATATATTTTTCGGAGGTCAGCCACATTAACGCAAAGGCCATATTCAAATAAATTTTATCCTTTCTAGGTTGATCCCATGTACTAGTGGCTGATCCCATGTCTTGAAGTTCTAACCGCGACAGAATTTTTCGTCTATTCATTTGACGAGAATTTCAACACAGAAAAAACAAATGTATTGTTTTGCCTCGGTGACAGTTTGACAGATGTTTAGGAGATGGTTGATATATTTATGTTGGATTTGTGTGTTTTCTTTCAGGCATTTATGAAGAAAATATTTTAGAGAATAATAAATTATTGTGCACTAATATAAAGTATTTGAACAGTGACAATTAAGAGAGAAAAATTAAAAAATATATATTTTAATGGTTAAATCTTTTATTTATAAATGAATTCTATGACAGGAGATAATTTTTAGGTCTCTACAAAATATTAGAGATTCAGTTCTTAATCCATTACTGTCGTATTAGAATTAGTACAATTAAAGAATTTTTTCTTAATCCTTAGATGTTTTTGAACCTTTTAAATTATAAATTCTATATCAGGTAAATAACATGTACAGTGGCAGACTGGCAGTTATGAGGTAGAAAGCAAGTAAGCGGCCTTTTGTTCTTATTTTATTTTAGGCATAAGTTATTTTATTTATTATTTTTTCTGTCTATATTTCTTTATCATTTTCTAACACTGTTAGATCAGAATTTTAAGAGGAAAAAAAAAAGATAAAGATTAGTTGAGATTCTGATATAATAATATTTCAAAGTGATAAACAAATGTAGACAAAAAAAATATAGATAAAATAACATATCTCCTACTTTTAATATACATAGAGAATTCTAGCTATAATTAAGATATAAGTTCTCTAAAGTCTAAATAATTATATTAACGCAATCAGATAGCAAAACACGCCTAGAAATTTAGGTTTGTTGTTTTGGAAGTATTTTAATAGCCCGCAAAGCCCAAAGTTTAATTAAGCTGAGAAGGCTGGTTGATAGCATATACTATTATCGATGGGTGTAAATACGTCACTCAACTTTATTAGATTTGTTGAATTACATATAATCAAATAGAACAGATCTAAGCTTGAAAAAAAAAACATATTTAAAAAGCAAGTTATATGTCAGCTTATAAGATATTATTTATTTTAAATAAAATAAATAAATTATTATTTTAATAATTTTGAATAATAAAATAATATTTTTTTAATTATTAAATGCCTAATAGACTTAAACAGGCTACAGGTCTAGGCCAACATTTTTTATTTTTTAAATATATGTCAGACTAGACTTATAATTTGAATCTATACAAAACTAATAGATTAGACTAGGCCTAAAGTATTTTACAGAGACCTTACTTCTTTAACGTAAAATCTAACATAACCTAACCTATTTATATTATCAATAGTGAACAAAAATTGATCTCTTATACCAAGAATGAACATCAGACTTCTTGGACGCCTAGAGCTTACTTTAACCTCCGCGAATCAAGCAAAATAATCCTTCGAACAAGGCAGAGAATACACCAAGTGGTGAGAAATGGTTGGAATTAAGGTTGTATAACATTAAAAAAAAAACGCTGGGTAACCTTTGAAAAGAAAGGACCCGAGTTACGCAGAATTCGCATCGAGCAAGTGAGAAGATGGAGAAGAAGCATGCGATGGTTAACGGTATTTGTAATTTTTTTTTGACATATGCTTAATTGTTGAAATTAGATAATGTAAGGAGCTTAATTCCAACAATTGAAAGTATAAGATGGTTTTTTAAAACATGACCATAGGTCCATAATAAAGGGGGTAATGTATAATTTAGCTTTAAAATTTGCAAATCAAATGAATAATTGGGAAAGATTAATTAACAAAGGTGGGTGGGAGTTAATCTGGATACTATAATTGAGTATTGACTCCACCCTGGAGAGTCACATAATATTCAAATATTTCATACATTTTTTTTATTATCTTTCCTTACTTTTTTAATTAAATTCTAACAACTTAATAAAAAAGTTAACTAAGGAAGTACTTATTGTCAGTTAGAAGAGTTTTTTTTTTGGTTGAATTGTCAGAATGTAATTAAAAAGAGACAATAAAAGGGAGGAAAAGATTTTCCCCACCTAAATTCAACTCAAGTTATGCAAAGTAACAGTAGACATTCATGATTTTTTTTTTTTTAATAAAAAAGAAACCCAAAGCATATTGTCGTTTCCTCCTGAAAACAAATTCAACTACATACAGTTTATGTTTTTGATATATAATCAGTATTATGAAAAGAGAAATAAACCATATAAAGTATAAACTAAATAAAGAATTAAAGATTATTGTGATCGTGTTTGAAATTTATTAACTTATCTGGGTGATTTTGAAATTTCATTTTGTGCTCTTGTACCTTACTTGTAATGGTCCCTTTCTCTATATTAATTATATGTCTCTCCGAAATTTCAAAGAATTTATGATACCAGCTTCCTACCTTAACAAAACAAATAGGGCTGGCTGACTTGACTTTCACTCTCATTCTATTTATATGTTTCTCTTTCATTCCTGGTTCTCACATTCATGACCTGCTCAGAATTATAACTGTCTGAATTTCGCCATTAACGTTGCTGATTACCCTTTGAGGAGCATGGGTGAATATCTGCCAAGAAGCACGTATGTATGCACAACACCTATAAATTTTTTTTAGTCATCATATATCTTTTTCTGCTTTGTCATACTGTTTACCACTCTATTTCAAACTTCAATCGTTCAGGACTAAATTTTTTTCTTCACTTGCTTTTTCTACTTCTATTCTCATCCAGTAATATTTATATATTAGTTCAGAGCAATTATATATACGTGAGCATCATCCTTTTTTCATTGTTTTCTATCTTGAAGAATTTATTGCTTTCGTTTATTTGTTTGTAATGGCAGCTCAGATGTAGCTTCTAGAATGGATAGACAGAATGGAACAGAAATTGATTTTGAGACATTCCCATGGAAAATTGAAAATTTCTCAAAGCAAGACACCAAGAATCTTCGATCCAGGGCCTTTCGAATCAGAGGTTATAAATGGTACTTGCAAATTAATTTGAAAGGGTTTTTAAAATTTTGTATTATTCACTTTTAGATAGCTTTATGTTCAATAAAAATGAACGAAAAAATATTGACAAATGATAGAATACATATTAAGATATATTATATGATATTTTACATTCTTAATTAGTCTTCCTACTTTTACTTCTAATTAATCATGCTATGCATATTAATCATGTTAATTACAGGCGGATTCTTTTGTATCCATTAAGAAATGATGTTGAACATTTTTCATTATATTTGACGGTTGCCGGTTCTTTACCACCATATGGATGGAGCAGAAACACATATTTCAAGTTGGCTTTAATTAATCAGGTGGATGGCAACAGGTCAATTGTAAAAGGTACATATTAGTCTCAATTGTTCTCTTCTCTTTGTTTTTTTTTTTGGTTTTATTAATGTCGTGTTAAAGGAGATAGTTATCTCATGTCATAGACACAAATTAATGGGCTCCACAACTTGAAAAAAGAAAAGAAAAGAAAAGAAAAAAGTTACACAATTATCGAAGAATGTGTAGGAGAGAAAACTTGTCTCACGGACATGATAATAGTTTTTCCCTTTTTTTTCCCGTTAAATGGTTCTGTCTTGTTACTGAATTTGTTGATCTCATCATAATCATGTCAAATTTGTCTGTTGTATTTTTTGCTTTTCGTTAGTTACTTTTATAAGTTATTAACATTAACCAGCTATATAAGGATATTTTCCATTTGCAAATAAATTTAGTAATTCAAACTTTATAATTCCTGATATATATATATTTGTACATTTTCAGAGGCTCAGCAGAGGTTCAATGGTGGATATCGTAGTTGGGGCTCTTTTTTCATGAATCTCAAAGACTTCTGCGACTCTGAACAAGGCTATCTTGTGAACGACACTTGCATCATTGAAGCTCATATTTGTGTCTCTGATAACAACGGCTCCATACTAAGTGATCAAGAAACAGAATCTTCAGATGGAAGTAGTCGGTATAGTCAAATGGAAGAGGAAGTTGAAGGTTCAGATTTGACACTAAGAGACCTACTAGTTTTTGAGAGTTTAGGAAGAGAAGCAGCAGCTTTTCTTCCACTTTTGGAGGAGGCTTGTACATGGCATCCTTCTCTATTACTGAGCCAAAGGAAAAATTCTAGCTTGTTCAAACTATGGGCATTCACATCTTTGGGCCAAGTTTTGCATGTCCTCAAGACAAGGAAAGTGAAGGATATGAATGAAGATGAATGCAACCACCTTCAAGGTTTATGGGAGGAGCTTGTTAGGGCATCTGGGTTTAAATTGGATTGGTTGGAGCCTCATGTTCAATCTGCATTGGGTGTGAAAGTTCGTATGGAAAGAACAGTGGCAGTGAATGAACTGAAAGACAGAGTGGTTGCTTTGGAGATTAAAATGGAGAGGCTGAGGGGAGAATTGGCAGCTGCAGAAGATGAGTTTGAGGTGGCAAGGAGAGAGTTGGTAGAAGCAAGAACAGGTTACATGGAGATTGATTTGAATGCTGAATTAGGTTATGCCATGTTTTAGACAAATTGCATGTACATTGAACTTATTTTGCTGAAGTTTCTCTAAAGTTCCATTTCCTTGGAAAATATGGGGCTAAATAAATGCCTTTGAGTGCTGCTGCTAATTTTCCTGCGTGTACTTTGTATGATACTTCTCTTTGTAAAAGTGTGAGAGAGATTGGTGTGAATATATTGTACGAGAGAGATTGAATACAATTTGTGAGAGAGATTGGTGAGAATTCTATTATTATTATTATTTTTTATACATGAATACTATATATGTTGTTTAAATTGTATTAAAAAATGTAAAACTTTTGATTTATTGCATTAAAAATATATAAAAGTTTCTCTTTATGTTCTGTTTCTCTTAATTTCTAATATTTTGTAACTTCATAACTACAACCATGGTATTCAATTGCAGGCTTTTCATGGGACTCATAGATTCCTCTGGTGAATTTTATTCTCTGAAATATGCTTTGATAAGAGGTTTGAGATGAATTATACTATTATAGACGCTGAAGAATACATTATTACAAACATATATAGTTGTGTGATTTAGTAGTTGTTCTTGTATATATTCCTTAGATGAATTAACTAGTCTGGCCTGATTTTAATAGCTATGTCAAAACTATTTTAGTATTTTTTTTTCTAGTTTGATTTTTCCTAAACATATGCAATTTTTTAGAAAGGTAAGTATAATGCATTTGTTTTGATGGATTATTGTTGCCTTGTATTAATCCACATATCACATTTGCATAACGACTTATTTTTAGGTCAGTCTATATTTAAAACACATGACAAAAGGTAAAATGTCTAATCCCATGTTTAACTTGACATATTGGTTGCACAATAGAAAAATATATAAAGAACCAATTCAACCCAAAAGTTTAAGTTATTGGGTGAGACTATATTAATAATTTTATATATCTCAACACGTCCCCTCACACGAGAGCCTACTGGGCTTGAAGGGTGGACAATGCACAGGCCCACCTACCTGTGCGAAGAAAGAAATTCCACTGGAAATAAAGTGGGGGCAGTGAGGATCGAATCCTGTACATCGAAGCTCTGATACCATGTAAAGAACCAATTCAACTCAAAAGCTTCTGATTTCTTAAAAATGACCTCACAAATATGAAAACAAAATTTAGTGTGTAATTTTCTTTGATTTTAGATCATTAAATAAAGAATTCTATGACTTATTTTGGTTCAAAAAAATTCAGAGGCTTTTGGATTTAAACGCTCTTATATATAGTAACATCATTGTAAATTCGAACTGTGTTTGTGAGAGATAAAATATGTCAAATAAGATGTCATTGCTTAGATATTGAAAAATTATATAGAATAAAAAAAAGTATCTAATTCGGACACTCAAGTCAAAAGTTATGGCCTTCCGAAATTTTACGGTTAAATTATTGACTTTTTTGTGCTACGTGTCAACTTTAGATGAGTTACACCTAACTTAGAAGTGAATGTCTCGTGGGTCACGTCTAACTTTGGCGTGAATGGTCGGTCACGCCCAAATTAGATACGAATGAGGGCAATAGATCCGTAAATTGATTTAGAATAACTATATTTTCGTAATTATTTATTAAAACAGTAATTTTTTAATTTTTCCCCAATGATTTTTACATGTTACTTTTTATTTTCACCCCATTTTTTACATAAATTAAATCTGCAGAATGAGTGATTCTTATATTAAATTACCCATACAAAAATCTATTTCAAGAAGATATAAAAAAATGTTTATTTATATATGTACCAAATAAAATGTTTATTTTTTCAACATATGTTAATCTAAACACGGATTATGTACTGATTTCACAATTCAAGATTCGTCATCATGGATAGTTTTTAGATTTATCAAAATTATGGATTATAAACACATTTTGGGTGAAGATTATTTTTTTCGTATATTTATTCTTATTGAAATTATAAGTGTGACTCAATTTTTTATTTAAATGAATTTTAGTTTACGATTAAAATAAAGAAATGATTATATATCTCGCCCCTTATTTTAGCTTTAGTAAAAATAAATAAAACAATTTGATTTATTAAAAGAGAAAAAAGTTTTTGTTTTTCTTATCAAATTTTTTTTTTGCCGTACTCACATAAATATAAATGAGTCGAATTGTAAAATAAAAAGAGAACTTTTTTTAATAAAATCGACTCATTTTTATATGAATATAACAAATAAATTTTTTTTGCAACGAAGATAAAAACATTAAACCTTTATTAAAATTATAAAAGGCATCAGACGGAATGAAATATTAATAACAATTATATTTGTTCAAAGAGTTGACTTTCAATTAAAGAATTTCACTTCATATTCCACGCACCGATCAGCTTACACCTCCACGGGAACTTTTTTCCCTTACATTCGAAATTATGTAAGCAGTATTACTTTATATTATGAAGATTCTGCCATTCTGGTTCAGGCGTACACGTTTTCCAAATTTGACCTGCCTTCCGTCATGGTTTGTTTACTTATCACTTTTTATAACTATTTTTTTCATCATAAGTTCACAATTAAATTAATGGTTATAAAACACGATTAGAAAAGGCTCTATTTTTTTATGAAATTTATCGATAGAAAATTTTTGTCAAATTTATAGATGAAATTTTTGACCAAAAATATATTCAGTCAAAAATAAAAATAAATTTTGAGAAAAATAAAGATGTAATTAGAGACGAAAACAAATTTTATCGAAAATAAAGCTAGAATCTATTGTTGTCATTATCGTTGATGGAATCAAAACATCAAGTAAGAATTATTGATTTCATTTTGATCAATTATTGATAAAAAAAATACTATATATGATACAAAAACACTAATTTAAAACTTGTACTTAAAGATGCATATATATGTTTATCCAAAAAAAAAAAAAAATGCATGTATAAGGAGTGGATTGTTTCCTTCTGTAGCTCAAGTTTGGATCATAAGAAAATAAATAATTTTTTGAGCTAAAATCGTTATAAATTAAACTACTGTGCTACACACTATAACATTAGGTCAGTTCATGAACTTTTTGCACAAGACATTGGACATAGCTACCAATATTATGCATATTGTCATTCTCAAACTGCCTTTAGCAACAACAAAAAAAGGTCAAATTTAATGTACAAAATATTTTTTTGTCAAATTTAATAAGTCGATATAACGCAGCGAAAAATAAACCAAGAGAATTAAATCAGATTAAATAAGGAAAAAATTGTGTGTCATTTTAAAAGATATAAAATTGTGTCATTTTAAGAGAGAGAAAGAGATAGATAAAGAAGGAGAGAGAGTTGACAAAAAAATAAAAGTATGAGTCTTACCTCTTTGTGAGAGTGAAATGATATAAGTTGTGTCATTTAAAAGGATAAATATTTTTCCCTTAAATAAATAGTTTAATTCTTTGAACCGAACCAGTTTCAACTTTCAAGTAGTTTGGTTCGATTAAAAAAAATTAATTTAGATTGTTGAGATATATAGTCCCACATTGATTGTATGTGTAACTAATGTAGCTTTTATAAGGCCTTGGGCACTTCCACCCTTTGAGCTGGCTTCTGAGGTGGTGTATCCCAAGATTCTTTACATGGTATCAGAGCATCGCCACCCTCCACTTTCTCTTGTGGAGTTTCTTAGCACAGGTAGGTTAGGCCTGTTGCATTGTCCATTTTTCAAGCTAGCTTTTGGGGTGATGTATTCCAAGGTTCTTTACATGAATCATTGTCAAATTAACCAACTGGATTCAAATTTACACCTTTATGAAATAGGAGTCTCATCCTTTTTTTTTTGGGAACTGATCCTAATTACCTCTTTGAGACGAATCAGAATCACTTGTGTCCCCACGGGTTCGACTCTTTGAGCCGCCTACGGGACTAATCCAGAGTTCGGGTGCGAGTCCAAGGATTACGGTACTTATGCCCCTCCCCAGATGGTGTTGGTGGGATTCGAACCGAGGTCCTCATCCACCCTCATTGGCAATAATAAATACTAATTAGTTATTTGAAAAAATATCTATCCTTTTAAAGGACATAAGCTTATATTATTTTAGATATTAATAGTTGATTTCCGTCCATCAACGGTTATAAAATGTAGCCAAAAAATCAGTTAAAAATAAAACAAAGAGTAAACACCATTTTTGGTCCCTGACAATATCTACGAAATCCTTTTTAGTCCCTAGCAATAAAAAAAGACCAAATTGGTCCCTAAAAGTATGAAAAAAGGGCCACGTTAGTGAGGGACGAGTTGACATAAAGACTAACGTGGCCCTTTCTTCATAATTTTAGGGACCAATTTGGTCCTTTTTTATTGTCAGGGACTAAAAAAGATTTCGTAAATATTGCCAGGGACCAAAAAATGTGTTTACTCTAAAACAAAAGTAGGCCAAAGTACAAAGTCCTTTAATTTTGCTTTAAACTTCAATATTCTAAAGGCATGTATTCTAGTGAATATCATCGCCAAGTGTTAATTCCATTTTTCATATATGGTATTAGGTGAAATTTTATAAGATTTTAATAAAGGATATAAATTTAAATTTTGGTTGTTATTTTTATCTTTTAATTTAGGCAAAATCACTTTTCATGAGAAATTTTTTTGCAACAACCAATTACAATTACAGAATAATATTTCTGCAGTTATAAGTTATCTATATTTACTCCTAAAACGATGTCGTTTTGGGATTGAAAAATTAAATAATTATAATTATAATGACTATAATAACCCTGAAATAAATTAAAAATTATAAAAATATCATGATTTTGGCCCCAAAACGATGTTGTATTACACTTACTGCATATAACTTATCTGCAGTAACTGCAGCAAAAGCGAACCCTTACTACTATATACCACTATACCAGAGGTACTATATAGTTGTAATTTAAATTTTTTTTTTAAAAGTTGTCGGCTGATGTGACAGAGAGAGAAAAAAAATAATTTTAATATTATAATTATATATTATCCCTAATACATAATTATAATTGATTGCATGAAAAGAAAATTTTGTAACAACATGAGAAGTTGAGGAGCCTTTAATTTTTTTTTGATAGACTAGGACCCTTTAATTTATATAAATAGAATTGCACTTTCTTCATCATAAATTTACTATTATACATTTTTTGGAGGTCTTCCACATTAACGCAAAGGCCATATTCAATTTTTTTTTATCCTTTCTAATGTATATATTCCTGCAGAGATATGTAGTTGCTGATCCCATGTCCTGAAGACTTATTCAAGGTTCTAACCGAGGTAATATCCAAAAAAAAAAAAGGTTCTAACCGAGGCAGAATTTTTCGTCTATTCATGTAAAGCAATCATATAAAAACCGGACCGACCTGGTCGGGTTGATTTGAAAATCGGTGAATTGGTCATGTAACTGGTCTAATTTTTATATTGGATCAGTCATGTTACAGAATCGGTATGACCCGGTGCGACCTGATCGGTTTTCGTAAAAATCGGTGATCTGGTCAGTTCAACCGGTGATTCGGTCCGGTCTATAAAAAAAACTAATTTACTTTTATAAATTAATGTCTTAGGACGAGACTAATCCTCCAACCGAAGATTTCTGGCTTATCCTCTGGCCCCCAAAGATTTTCCAAGAAACTGCTTGAGGCAGGGTTTGATCCCTGCACCAAGCAATCCCTTGGGAGCTCAGCTGCCAACTGAGCTACCCTTGGGGGTTGATTTGTAGCTTATTAACTTACATAGATTATGTACCTACAATACTAATATTATCTTGATTATGCAATATCAAGGAATTTTGATTTGATTATAGTTAGAGATGTCGTTTACTGAACCTGAAACACTAGTATCATAAATATTATATGTTTGATTGATCTTTTATTGGACAATGATGTATAATTTATTATTTTCATATTAAAATATTTGAAAATGGTATATTTTTTAAAAGTATTTAAGTATATTTATAATTTTTTTAATATAAATTGTATACTTACCGGGTCATGCGGTTGAACCAGTGACCCACTGGTTAAACCAATAATCAGTTCGTCAATAATCGATATGGATTTAATAACATTGATTTAAAGAGAATTTCAACATAGAAAAAACAAATGTATAGTGGCTTATGTGGTGGAAAGCAAGTAAGCGACCTTTTGTTCTTACTCTACTTTTAATATACATAGAGAATTCCAGCTATAATTAAGATATAAAGTCTAAATAATTATATTAATGCAATCTGATAGCAAAAAACGCCTAGAAATTTAGGTTTGTTGTTTTGGAAGTATTTTAATATGATAAATAGCCCGCAAAGCCCATAGTATTCTAAGCAAACTTCTTTTTTTTTCACAGAACTTATACCGGCTATGCCTTGCTGCTTCAGATGATGACATCTTCAAAATTCTTAGTGGGTTCTTAGCAAAATTCCATTTGAGTTGACTTTTATCTCCTCCTCCTCCTTCCATTTCTCCATGACGAAGCACCCGTTTGTGCTCATTTTAATGTGCAAAGTACTACTTACTATATATAAATAGGAAGCATATCAAATACGAGGTGTACGAGACAGAAACAAATCTGGACTATTTACATGAATGGCCAATATTATAATATAATTAAAGTCATATAACTCATGTTAAGTGCTTGCAATCTTTAAGTAACTCTTAATCTCGATCATATGGGGTGTTTGGTAGGTAGATATTTTTGAAAATGTTAGGAAAGTGATAGATAAAATTCACAAATGACCATGTTTGGTATGGAACAGGAAAATTTGTCTAAGAAAAAAATTTGATAGAAAATTTTTTTGTAGTATAAAAATGAAGAAAAATGCCCACTTAAAAATACCACCTTAATGATAGTATTTTGATCTCTCCAGCAATATAACAATTTGTTTTCCCGGTAATATAACAATTTTTTGGATTTCTCACAAAATATAACAAATCTGGGCTATTTTTCCCGGTAATATAACAATTTTTTTTTTAACTTTTTCAGAAAAATATTTTTCCACTTTTTCCATCATTTCTCTAGTAATTATATTTTTCTGGTAAATTTTTTTTCTCCTGTACCAAACTCTCTTATACGTATGTGTATATATATTTACTACAATTTTTTATGCTATCTCAAACATAGGGATGTGTATGGGTCGAACTGAACTGGATTTTTTGAAAAACCGACCGAATTGGTTTAAATGGTTCGGTTTGAAAGTGGTTCGGTTGGAAACTGTTCGGTTCGGTTCGAAACCGGTTCGGGTCGACCATCTTTTGAAAAGAAAAAAAAGTTAAAATTTAAAAATAAAGTTATAAAAATCAATTTGGTTCGGTTTAAAAACGGTTCGGTTCGGTTCAAAATGGTTCGGTTCTTAAACTGATTTTAAAACCGGTTCGGTTCATGAACCGATTTTTAAAAACCGATTATTTTAAGAAGCGATTCGATTCATAGTTCGGTTAAGTTTTTTTGGTTATTTTGCACACTCCTACTCAAACATTCTACCTGTGATTGTAGTGACAGCACAGATGTATATAGCTTGATAGATATTAGAATGGAGCATCAGCAGAGAACAGGGATTGCTTTGGAGAAATTCACATGGATGATTGAAAATTTCTCAAAGAACACCGAAAAGCCATGCTTCATGTCTCTTGAAGTCGGTGGGTGTAGATAGTAGGGGTAAGTATGAGAATTTTCTTCTATGCTACTGACATACCGAGTTCGGTACAACATTTTTTTAAATTGAAATTTTTTTGATGTCACTTGAATCCAAATCTTTTCTTATAATTTTTTTTTTAAATCTAAAATTTTTCTTTTTTAAAAATGATGTATGATGCAGCAGTAACACTCAAGGTTTGCTCGTAAGTATGGTCCAAAACTGGATTGGTTTTCTAGTTGAACCAAATTGAACTAGTTTTTTTTATTGAACCGAACTATTTGGAAACCAGTTCGAAATAAGTTTCAAAAAATTGATTCATAACCAGCTCAGAACTGAGTTTATTTTGAAATTGGTTCTGAACCTTATACAAATTAGTTTTGAAATTGTTCTTTGTTGTATTTTCAAATTGATTTGGAACTAATTGCCCCCAAATGAAAATGACTTACAAATTTGTTAAAATTTACTTGCTCAATTTTTTCAATCGAAGATTATAACCTATGTTGCACCAACATTTCAAATAATCTGAAATATCATGTGCGACACTTCCCGACATCCCAACACTCCCCAACACTTTGACATGTTTCGACATCTATAATATTTGAAATTTTATTACTTATCATGAAAAAATTGATTGATGTTTTACTAAATTGATATAATAAAAATTAAAGATGGATACCGAATAAATCTCACTTGAGTGTATAAGAGATTTTCAATTTGAAAATATAATAGTAAATATTTACCTCTCATGTTTCTTTGCAAAATTGATGGGTATTATAAGTTTAGTTTCATTTTTTTATTAAATTACTGAATATTAAATATAATATACACTACATAAATTAAAAATATTATTTAATATCAAAACATGTTCTAACGTATCGAAATATAGAATTTTTTATAATTAATGTGTTGAAGTGTCGTGTTGTGTTCCGTATCAGTGTCGGTGCAACATAAATTATAACTTTGCATTTTTTACTTTAAAATAAAAAAATTCATGTTTATTAATATTTTTTTTTTTAGCCCCGCAATGGTCAAAAGAATTTTATGATTTGATATTTAACCAACTGTATGGTTGAATGTTGTATATGGTCATAAACAATAGACTTAATATGGAGCTATACATATATTGAATGCTAGAGTCAATTGTGGCTATGTGTGAAGTTGTAGTAGAAATGGTTCGGTTCGCTTTTGAACTGTTCCAAACCTGTTCAGAATCAAACTTTTTGAAACCAATTCAGATTCAAGAAATGTTTTAAAAAATCAGTTCTTATGTGACATTTTGGTTAGGTTTTCAATTCTGTTTAGTTTTTGTTTTTGTTTTTTGCACATACTAATTGATGGCTAAGTGCTTGGTTTTAGAACAATCTTTTACTATTATTTGTGCAAAGTGATACTGTTGCCTTCCACATATTTTGCTATATGCTACATGACTATATGAGCATAGGTAACTCAAATTAGAAGTCTCATATCAGTCACAAGTTTAATTAATTTCCTTTAGTCTCAGGCGGATCCTAATTGTGCATCCGATAGGGAAGGGTGTTAAATGACCATACATAGTGGTCAGAGTTTTAATTAATTGACAAAATAAAAAAGGAATATGGATGCCAAATCATTCATATTTGCATTCATCAAAAGTAATTTGTACCATCAAGCATTATATTTATTTCTCCCTTCATTTTTTATTTTTATTAGTGCAAGAAATCCGATTCATAAATAAATGAGGCAATGATTTGAGAGTAAGGTACATTTGCAGCTGCTTAAAAATTTAGATATATCGGTGTAGTGTGCATGTGATATATATTACTGTTCTAAATAGTACTTTATAGTGTGTATATATTTTGTATGTTTGCACCAACAAATAACAAATTCCCAGTCCTCTTTAGTACATATTCCTCCCAATTTAAATTTGAAAGACATTATTCATTTAACTGTATCTACACCCGTTTTTTTAGCAACTCATGCATTTTTAATGCTACGTGAAAGGATTCATGTGTTTTTCATTCAAGTGAATGTAATATCCTCACACCAAATGAAGTATCTTCAAGGAGGCTATGGTATCCCATATCCCAGTTCTGCATCCATGTCCCTCTCTTCGAAACCATTTGCTATCTCTGTCAAATCTCTTCTAGAAACCTCAAGGTCGAGTTCTGCAACAGCCAGTTTTGCCTCAAACTTCCTCATTTCAATCTCTAAAGTAGCTACATTGACCCTTAGATTTTTAACATGCTCTGCTCTTTCCAAATAAGCTTTTGCATCTAATGCTGAATGAACATGGGGCTCCAGCCATGTCAAGTCAAATCCAAAGGAATGAAGTTCTTCCCACAGAACCTGAAGGTGGATAAAATCATCACCACCCATATCCCTAATCTTCTTAGTCTTGAGGAAATGTAGAACTCGGCCTAAGGCTATGAATGCCCACAATATGAACCTAGGACTTCTTCTTCTTTGGTTCTCTACTAGTGAAGGATGCCATGAACAAACTTCCTCCCATAATGGAATAAAAGATTCTTCTTCTGGCTCTAAACTTTTAAAATCTATGATGTCACTGAGAGGGATCAAGAACACTTCCTCAAATTCATTAGATAAAGAAGGATACATAGGAGGAGCACTAGGAACAAATTGCACTTGTTTAGAATGTTCCATTCCTTGTTCTTCTGGCTGTGAAAGTTGCACTTCTATTTCACTTAACTGATCATCTTTAAAACTCTGGGTACTTGTGGGACTCGACGTTACATCTGAAAGTATCATTCCCTGCTCTTCAGTTTCCACTTCTGTTAGGCTAGATTGTTCACCATTTGATTTATTGAAGTTATCCGGAATGTTAAAGTCAACCTTTGAGACTGAAACGTGAGCTTCAATGACACATGTATCCTTCACAAGATAACCTTGACTAGGGTCATGGAATTCACTTAGAGGAATGAATGATTGAAAACCCCAACCTCTATTTCCAGCACTAAACTTCCGCTTGGTTTCTGATAAAATTCAATCATGTAGAATTAGAACTGGCATATACACTTAAATATGACTCTTACGACTTATATCTTAAATTCTGGTAAAAAAGATAAACATTAATCAATAACTATTTTCTTTTGTGGGTTTCGCTCCTACCAATGAAGATGCATTTGGTTACATCTTGTACTCCTTAATTTTAATCTTCAATTCAATTCTTAAATTGCACACTGATAATTTTCTACAAGCTTTAAGTACTTCCAAAGCTTATATTCCTTTGAGAAACTTATTTCCAGCATCTAATATGTTACTTGAACATAACAGCACATTTTAATTTATTAATTTTAAGATATGTACATTCATAACTGGATTCATTGTTTGTTGGGGAACAAATTCATAACTTAATTTTAAAAAGACAGAATAGAGTAACAAATAAACAAAATGAGCAATTAAGACAATTACCCATTGCAATTGACTTGTTGCTATCCAGCTGATTAATAAGAGTCAACCTGAAATATGCAAATCTGCTCCATGGTAGAAAATGAGCAACCATCATATACAAGGACAAATACTCCACATCCTTCCCCTTAGGATTTAAAACAATCATCCTGTCAAAGGAAAAATGGCAAATGAACTTGTGTGTGTATATATATCTGTACATATATATATGAATAATTATTAAAGGCTGAGAATTTCACTCAATTACCATCGACAACCGCCAACTTTGAAAGACTTAGAGGACAATTTTTCCCGGTTCATTTTGGAGAAAGCTTCAATTCTCCATGTGAATTTCTCCGAAGAAATATCCATCACCTGCATGTTCTCCATTCTAATAGGTATCTCGATTCGCGCTGCTGCTACAGCAAAAACATGAAACCACTCGTTTTCAAAGTCAAAAAATAAATAAATAAAATGAGAATGCTTGATACTGCATAAAGTACATAGGCAAAGTGAACATCTGACTGTTAAAATGTTATAATTCAGAACCAAGAAACTCACGTAAGAAACGCAATGCGCTTAGAAAAGTAAAGATTGCAAGTCCCAGATGATTAATTAAGCTGAAAACAGAGACCCAGAACAACAAATCAGAGTATTCCCAAAGAACATGAAATGGAAGAGAGAGAGAAATAGAAGTAACATGCGTGGCAGGGAAGTCAACTCAATTGGGTTTCTGACTTTGTTCGAGGAAGCTAGCCAAGAGAAAAAACAGCGGTTGCTCGTGTGGTGCACAAAGTCAAACTAATTGACCAGGTCATCTAAAATTCACGAGGTTACTCTCTGTTAAGTATTGAGAAAATACAGCTTTCAAATTTTTTGTTGAAGCTTGAATGAGCAGCAGTTCGGAAATTACATAACAGGCTTTATTATTACTACATTTTCCCCCTCAATGGATGTCCTGTTTTATAATTCATTCTCCACCAACATCCTTCATCCAAACATATACTGAAAAGTCCATCCTTCATCCAACATCATTCATTCTCCACTAAAATTAAAAATAAAATTGATGTAGTTGAAAATTATGATGCTCCACACTTTAAAGTATTTGATGTGTCGTGTCCGACACTTCCCGACTCTTCTCGACACTCTATACTTTTAGACACTTCAACATGCGTTGCAGAGACTCAAAAAGGGGTTCAACGGCATTGCGTTGCGTTTTTATTTTCAACTATCAGATTTGTTGGATTACGATTATCATTTTATTAAGTTTAATATAAATATTTGGAATATCTTATATTTCTTTGCAAAATTAATGGTAGTATACATTTAACTTTATTTTTTGTGTTAAATTATTGAATATTAAATATAATATATATTATATAAATTAAAAATATTATTTAATATTAAAACATGTCCTAACATGGCAGAATATAATATTTTTTAAATTAACGTATTAGAGTATCGTATCATATCATGTTACCTGTCCCATATCGGTGTCGGTGCAACAGAGGTTTGAGAATTTCACTTTTTTTACCCTAAAAAATATTATGTTAAATCAATATAATATAAAATTATTAATATCAACTTCATCTTATCATTTAAATTTTGAGAAATGCGTTTCCCATGAGATAATTTAATCTCACAAAAAAAAGAAGGTAAAACTCTTTTCTTTTTCTTAATGAGTTATATTTATTTTTTTATATGTTGAATGAGATAATTTTTTATCTCATGTAACATTAAAAGATATATCTAAATTTTTGGATTAAATTGATGATTTAGGCCTCTCGAATTTATATTACCTCGTCAATTAGTTTGACTTTGGGCCCTGTAACCTCCTAGCAAGCAACCATTATTATTTTTCCCTGGCTAGCTTCCTTACAGAAAGCCATTTCAGTTGACTTTCGTGCCACGCATGTTACTTCTCTTTCTCTCTATCTCTTCCATCTCTGTTTTCAGCTTAATCAATCATCTGGGACTTGCAATCTTGCCCCAAAGTCTTAGCTTTTCAAACCGCATTGCGTTTCTTAAGTGAGTTTCTTTGTTCTTAATCATAACATTTTAACAGCCAGTTGTTCACTTTGCCTATGTACTTTTTGCTATATCAAGCATTCTCATTTTTCTTCTTCTTTGAAAACAAGCGTTTTTATGTTTTTGCTTGTAGCAGCAGCGCAAGTCTAGATACATATTAGAATGGAGAACCAGCAGGTGATGGATATTGCTTTGGAGAAATTCACTTGGAAAATTGAAGCTTTCTCCAAAGTGAACACCAAGAAATTGTCCTCCAAGTCTTTCAAAGTCGGCGGTAATCGATGGTATATATTTGAGTGAAATTCTCAGCTGTTAATAATTATTCACCAACCTATGTATACACACATCATGTGTCATTTTTCCTTTGTCAGGAAGATTATTTTATATCCTAAGGGGAGGGATGTGGATCATTTGTCTTTGTATATTACGGTTGCTGATTCTCTACCACCGTATGGATGGAGCAGATTTGCATATTTCAGGTTGGCTCTAATTAATCAGGTGGATAACAACAAGTCAATCGTAAAGGGTAACTGCCTTAATAGCTTATTTTGTTTATTTATGTAACCCAGTTTTGTTAAGAGATATAATACAAAATAAATTCATGTGAAGCTTTTGGACCCATCAAACGATGAATCCAGTTGTGAAGCCCTTATCTAACACTTTAAATAAATTTTTGAGTTAAATTAGTCTTTTACATAATATCAAGAGCGGGTTAATTTTTTGTTTCTTTATCAAATAATCTGATTATTATTATTTTTTCCTTTTTTTTACCAAAATACCCTTCCCTCCATTGTTCGATCCTCGTATCCCGGGTTCAATCCTCACCGTCCCCTATTTTTTATTGTGGAATTTTCTTAGCACAGGTAGGTGAGTCTGTGCATTATTTACCCTTCAAGCCCAGTAGGCTTTCATGTGAGGAAGCTTGTCAGAATATAATATAAACCTTTCACCTAACATGTTAAGCTTTTGAGTTAAATTGATTCATTACAACTATGATAATAAGCTTTCGTCTTTTAGTCAATAAATTAAAATAAGCTACAGATGTTAATTGGGAGGGTGGCTGATAGACTTTGCTTTCCAGATATTGGTTGGTTAATGTTCATCAACTTCAAATTTTGTGTGGCCTTTATATGTAGAGGAATACATTTTTTATCTAGAGAAAAAGAGAACTGAGTTATGCTCCTTTTTAGTGATATTATGTTCAAGTAACATATTGGTTGGTTAATTGGAAGTGCATATGCTTGTAAAAAATCATCAGGGTGTAATTTTAGAATTGGATTGAAGATTACAGAAGATGTAACCAACTGCATCTTCATTGGTGGAAGTGGAACACACAAAAGAAAATAGCTATTGATTAATATTTATCTTTTTTTACCATAATTTAATTAAGATCAGAATTATATTTGATTATGTACGGCCATTCTAATTCTAGATGATTGAATTTTTCCAGAAACCCAGCAGAAGTTTAATGCTGGAAATAATGGTTGGGGTTCTCCATCATTCATTCCTCTCAGTGAATTCCATGACCCTAGTCAAGGTTATCTTGTGAATGATACATGTATCATTGAAGTTCACCTTTCAGTATCTAAAGTTGCGTTTAACATTAATGGTGAACAACATAGGCCAAAAGAAGTAAAAACTAAAGAACTGGAAAAGACATTTTCTGATGTGACGCTAAGTCCAACAAGTACCCAGAATTCTAAAGATGGTCAGTCAAGTGAAATAGAAGTGCAACTCTCACAGTTAGAAGATCAAGGAATTGGACCTTCAGATGTGACCCCAAGTCCTAAACAAGTGCAATTTGTTCCTAGTGCTCCTCCTATGTACCCTCTTTTATCCAATGAATTTGAGGAAGTGCTCTTGATCCCCGTCAGTGACCTCATAGATTTCAAAAGTTTAGAGGCAGAAGAAGAATCTTTTATTCCATTATGGAAGGAAGTTTGTTCATGGCATCCTTCACTAGTAGAGAACCAAAGAAGAAGAAGTCCTAGGTTCATATTGTGGGCATTCATAGCCTTGGGCCGTGTCCTACTATTCCTCAAGACTAAGAAGATTAGGGATATGGGTGGTGATAATTTTATGCACCTTCAGGTTCTGTGGGAAGAACTTCATTCCTTTGGATTTGACTTGACATGGCTGGAGCCCCATGTTCATTCAGCATTAGATGCAAAAGCTTATTTGCAAAGAGCAGAGCATGTTAAAAATCTAAGGGTCAATGTAGCTACTTTAGAGATTGAAATGAGGAAGTTGAAAGCAAAACTGGCTGTTTCAGAACTCGACCTTGAGGTTGCAAGGAGAGACTTGGAAGAGGTAGAAAATGGTTTCAAAGAGAGGGACATGGATGCAGAACTCGGTTATGGGATACCATAGCCGCCTTGAAAAAACTTCATTTGGTGTGGCATTGCTGCAATCATACACAACACACACACACACACTACTAAGTACCATTGGAAGGGGTCAAATCATTGCCCCATTTATGTATGAATTGGAACTAATAAAAATAAAAATGTAGGAAAAATAAATATAAATAATGTTGGATGGTACAAAATTACTTTGATGAATGCAAGTATGAATGAGTTGACATCTGTATTCCTTTTTTATTTTCTCATTATATTTGCAACTGAGTAGAATATATGGTCATTCAACACCTAATTGGTCACAAACTTTCATGGTCCTTCATGCAACTTTCTTTCCTTGAACTAACTCTGTTTTTTCTCCTTTAGCTTCCATCATCTTATCTTTGGGTTCTGAGTCATCTTTCTCATTTTAAGTACTTTGTTAAACCGAACTTCTAGTACTATCTGCTTATGCTGCGTAACGACATATTCTCTAGGGTAGACCTTACACTCGACACAAGAAGTTCTATATTTTCTTGTAGTCATAAAGAAATCAATCTGACTACAATTTTGGCCACCATGATATATGATTAGATGTGACTCCCTTTTTTGAAAAAGGTGTTTGCTAGTATCAAATTTTAACCTAGTGTAATATCCAAGATATCTTTTCCAGTCTCATTCTCGTTCCATAGCCAAAACCTTCATGAATTCTATGAAAACCTCCATTGCTTTTACTAATATCACCATTTACATATCCTCCTAAGAAGATCTTTTCCTCTCCTAATATCCCCCCTCAAAACTTCCTCTAAGTCTTCCCAAAATTGGCTCTTATCATTGGTTGCAACCCAACTTGGAGTGCACACACAATGGGGATATTCAAGATTAAACCACTCACTACAAGCTTAACCAGATTAATCTTGTCACCTTTCATTTTGACGTCGACAACTTTATCTTTGAAACTTCTATTGGTCTTAATTCCAACACCATTTTGACTGTTGTTTATACTTGTGTACCGCAACTTGAAACCAGTACCGTCCACTTCCTTGGCCTTTTCTCCAATCCACTTAATTTCTTGCAAGCAAACAATATTCACTTTTTCTAGCAAAAATATCTTCTAACTCCTTCAGTTTATCTGTTAAGGTTCCTATGTTCTAGCTTCCCAATCACATCTGTAACCCTAGGTAGTGCTTGCCTGCCACACTCGTCCATCTGCGTGTTGAGACCCTGACCTACTTGTCACCAAATTCGGGTGAAGATCTAGCGCCTTGCCTTGAGGCAATGACCCTAGCTTTTTTGTCGCTATACCCCGTGATCGATGCAGCGCCTTGCCTTATGGCAAAAGCCCTAACCTAGCTTACATATCATAAGGGTTCATAAATATAACTAATTTTTATGGCTGGCTCACTACACTTGATGTCAACATCCCTCATTTATCCTGGCTTGGACAGGTCATGCATGCAAGCACGAGTTTTTTTGGAAATATACCATATAAGAAAAATCTGAAAAATCCAAAATGTTAGAACACTTCAAATTATGAGACTATATTTTGTTCCGTGCTGCGCTCAGGTTCCGAATTATAATAACACAAATGACAACAAAAAGGTAAATCAAAGGATGAAAAGCTAAGTTCTTCATTGGATATCATATCAAGTAAATCATGTAAGGACATTTTTAAATTATTCTTTTTTAATATTTAATTATAAAAATAAAATTGATATTATAGATTTGAATATTTAAATATAAATATGAAAAAGTAAAATATAAGTATTTTTCACTTTTCTATTGACTTTTTACTATTGGGATTAAAGTTTCCTCTGAATCACGAAATTAAATTATTTCCTACAATCCAAAACAATGTTATTTTTGGGTATAAAATAAGGGTTCGCTTACTGCATATAAGTAATCTGTAGTAAACTCAATACGACGTCGTTTTGGGATGGAAATCATGATGTTTTTATAATTTTAATTTATTTCAGGGTTATAATAATCTTTATATTTATACTTTTTTAAGATTTCAATACCAAAATGACGTCGTTTTGGGAATAAATGCAGATAACTTATCTGCATTAACTGCAGAAATATTTTTTCCATAAAATAATAATATATTTTTGTAAAATTCATGATAAAGAAGAAAGTGAAATGTTTAAAATACCCTTAATTTTTTTTCTTCTAAACTTCAAATTTTGGGTTATTTGAGATAAATTTATCTTGTGTTACATTCAAACACTTTTTCCATAATTGTTAGAAGAGGGATATACTTACAACCTAAAAGATTTACAACCTCTTACCATCAAATTTTAATCGTTGATTTTCGTCAATCTAACAGTTGTGATTTATCGGATCACACTTATTAATTAATTCCCAATAAATCTTAATTATTACATTGACGAAAATCAACGGTTAAGATTTAATGATAAGAGGTTGTAAAACATGTAAGTAGATCCTCCCTCTCATTGTTTTTATCATCTAATTTTTAAATATTTTTTCAAAAAATAAAATATACAAATTGTATGATAAGGACTGACAAGGTAAAACAGCCCCATGAGGTAGTTAGGAAACTTTTGAAAACTATTAAATTTATAGGATCGGATGAGATTAAACTAAATCTTTCACCTTATAATTAGGATAAATCTAATTGAGAAAGTTAGGAGATTAAACTATTTTTTCATTGTCACTTTTTCCCCTCGTTTCGAGGTTAATTAGGAGATTTCTTTTCTCACGTTATCTAATGTATTTCGGTATTTTATGGGGTATATGTAGATGAAACTTTTTTTTTTTTTGTATAATTATGTAGATGAAACTTTAGTTTCTTAGCAATTTCATATAGGTGTGTTGCTTTGAGTTTTACAATGCTTTCATTTTTTACTAGACGCAACCAATTGACCCCTGATACGTGAATTTGCCAGAGTTTGAAAATGAGTTCAACGCAAGTTTCCCTTTGAGGGGTTACTTTATGCCTTTAGCTGAATTTCGTGACCCTGAGAGGGGGTTTCTTGTGAAGGATACTTGTATCATTCGTGCAGAGGTTAATGTTCATGAGTCAAGACAAGTGTATCAAGTGAATGAAGTTGGATATGTGAAAGCCATAGTCCCAAAGCCAAAAGATCAAGGTTGAGGTTTGAAACTCTTTTTTATTTTTTGGTATCTTAATTTGAAACTCTTTTTATTGATTTGTGTATGTACATTTTTTATTATTCTTTTTTAGGATTTATTAATATTTACTAAATCAATATTATTGATTTTAATATTTAAATATAAATAAGATAAATGTATAAGTATTTTTCACTATTAAAGCTCTTCGTTCCTCCTTAAAGATGTATTTGGTGACAATCGAACATATATTCTCTTCTCACCTACTCAAGTGGTATTGCCAATTGAGCTACACAAGGCCTACACCCACTGGTTAGAAAAATAATAAACCATATATATATATGAGATGGAATTCTAAGATGCATCTAATGATATGACAAGGAGACAGACGACAATCCTCTAGCAGTTCTAAGCTAGGAGCGAAAGTAAGAGATTGATGTGTTGTTAGACCGAGATTCCAAATCAGTCCTTTTGCCATTTTGCCCGTGATTGTTCAAATCAACAAGTTGTGGTGCTTGTTAGTAATGAAGATCGTGACAATTGTCTCGTCTATGATTCTGACATAGAACAAGAATGCGATGGCGATCCAATCTATATGATGACTCCAGTGGAGAAATATTGTGATAATGATCCAGTTTATGATAACTTCAATAGAGAACAAAATGATGAAAATTCATATCAATTTGTTGAATTTGAATATGATTATGAAGATGGTGAGGTTTTATCCCTACTTGCCTTTTTCGATATAGTACCGGAAGAGATGCCCCTTCAGTTACCACCCATAAGCGACAGACATTCAATATTATTGTATTAATTTCATATCAGGAACAATTATCATTCCCGATCAAGCAACATACATAATGAATCAAAGGAGTATGAAGAATTACAGAGACAAAAGCAGTTAAAAAGTATAGGAAAACATGAGTCCCATTGTAGCTCTAGTCGTGTTGGTTCCCAAGAAGGATAGGTTGTGGGGAATGTGCAAAGATAGCAACAGTGTCAATCAAAGCACCATCAAGTATAGATTTTCTATCATACAATTTGAATATTTAATTGATAAATTACATAGAGCGAATATTTTTTTGAAAATAGTACCAGAAGAACTCTCACCTAGATTGCCATCTAAAAAGGCTAATATCAATGAAGAGAAATTAGATTGGAAGGTAAATCTTTTCCGGAACAGTGATCAAAATGTCACTTTTTCCTAATTTTTTTTGCTAAATGCAACGCCAACAATGTTAATTTTCAATATGTCCATGGGCAAGTTCAGTGAGCACTGTAGCGAACTTGGTTCAATTAATGCATCTGCCACGCCACGTGGCAAACATGCAACAAAGTTCGCTGCCCACCCTAGCGAACTTCGTTGCATGTCTGCCATATGTCATCCTAGCCGTTACATGTAGTTCACTGGAGTGGGTAGCGAACTTCGTTGCATGTCTTCCACGTGGCGTGGCAGGTAGAAACGTGCAGGTGCATTAATTGCAACCAAGTTCGCTACATGGAGTAGCGAATTTGGTGTCCACCAGAAACGTAACACATCAGCAAACTGAATTCGCTACAGTGCCCAGCGAACATGACCACGTGACATATTGGGAATTGACATTGTTAGCATGATATTCAGAGAGAAAAAAATTAGAAAACAGTGACATTTTGGTCATTGTTCCAATCTTTTCCTAACAAAAAATAATAATAATGCATTTAGAATTGACTTACACGAGAATACTTAGATATGGAACATAATTTGATTGGGTTGATTTATTTTAATTATTTCGTTATTTATATTTAAATTTTTTAAAGCACATTTTAAAGTTATTTAACACATTATAAAAGAGTGTTTAACATTTGTAGGTGGTTGAGTTTGAAATGAGATTATTGCTTTTTCAGATAGTAAGAAATATATTTTTTCTGTTGTACACACAAAAATAACATGGACCCATATATGGG